AATTTTTAAAACCAATTTTGAGTGCGAAAAATATTTAACACTGTTATCATGTAAATTTAGAAAAACTTTATTTAAATTTAGAACCACAAACCACCACCTTCCAATTGAAACAGGTAGATGGAATGGTACTCAAAGAAGTGAAAGATTCTGTAGCTTATGTGATAGTAATCAGATAGGAGATGAATATCATTATATTTTAGAATGTAGTGCTTTAAACCAAGCGAGGAAAATTTTTTTGAACCCAAAATTTTGTTCTAAGCCAAACACTATGAAGTTTTGTGAAGTTATGTGCCAAAATGATGTTGATTCTTTGAAAAAATTATGTACATTTATTACTAAGATTAATAGTATGGTCTGTTCTCCCTAGCTAGCTTAATTAATCTCACCTTTTGCTTGACCCACTGTATTATATGTATATATGTTTTATATGTTTATGTACCTCATGTAACCATTTACATGGTTTTTGAGTGAATAAATTGAATTGAATTGAATTGAAGACCAAGTAGACGTTTTAGAAAGTCGAATGTAGCAGTTTCCATCGAACTTTTTCCAGCCCTTAGGACACATCCTTTTGCCTCCTGAATAATTTAATGTTAATTGGATTAATTTGAAAAAATATTAAATCTTCTATACATGATTTACTGTGGAATCGTTTTATTTTGTGGGGTCAATGTTTGTGAGCAACCAGAAAACTGGTTAGTGGTGACGGAATTTCGTAGTTACTCATATATATTCAGAAGATTTGCTGAAATGGTTTGAAATGCTTGTTTGTGGGGATATAAATTCGTGGGTAAGGGTGACCACGAAATCCACGAACATTGATCCTCTAATGATGATTTGCACAGAAACTGAACAACCCTTTTTGAATCGCAGTCTTATGTCTATACCTGGAGACTCTCTGACATTGATGTTTGTATGAAATAAAATATGGAGATAACGAACAATTTTCAAGTTCAAAGTCCATTAAAACAAAGCAAATCGGGAGCAAAGCAAACACGGACCTCCAAAAACATCAGAGGTGAGATCAGGTGCCATGGAAGAGTGAGCATCCCCTACCGACCAGTCACACCCGCCGTGTGCTCTTTGTCATGATCGGAAAATAACGGAAAAATCCGTCGACAATTCAGTGTGTAAATAATGGCCTAGCATTAGTATGAAAAATGTCCGTCAGCATATGACTTAATGATAGATTTTATTTGCTAACAAGGTCATTGTATCGACCATAGAACTTACAAAATGATTACTATAAACGAGTCAGTTGATATTCTTGTTTTATCAACTTGTTTGTCAATAACTTACCTCGTTTTAGAAATTGTTCGTACGTAGAGCATGCTCTTGCGTATCGAATCAGCTGAGAGATATAAACCCTGTATGTAGGTAATGAAGGTATATTGCTGCATAAGTAAGGGAAGTTGACGTTTGAAAAATTAAATTCATCACGTTTATCATAAGGCTTGGTTGTTAGATTACCATTAACGTCTTTTTCTAGTAAAATATCCAAATATGAAAAAGATGTGTCAGACTCTGTGGTATCTTTTATTTCAATAAATATCTAAATGTCGAGTTGAAGGTCACAGCAAGAGATTTGTTTTTCTCATGTATAAGATTTTGAATAAATTCTTATTCATATGTATACAAAAATACGTCTGCTAACAATTTGAAGTGCAATTGGTACCCATTGGAATTCCAACAGATTGTTGGAAGATCTGGTCTCCAAAAATCACATAGATATTGTCAATCAGAAACTCAAGCATCTTTTTAATATTAACCTCAGAGTACTTGTCTGTACAATGTTTTTTAACAAATAATTTTGCAAATGACCAAAAGTTCCTTGGAATTTTTAAGTATCCACATCTGTATGTTAATTCATCCAGATTATTGTTAAAATTTTACATATAAATTATTTTATGCTCAATATACTTAGATTTAATAATATTCCAAAAAGACTTTAATGTAAAATAAAACAAAATTCAATTACATATGTAATACTTTTAAAAGTAACAAAACAAATTAAAATACTAATTACTATTCATAATTTTGATTGATGCTATTTTATATAAAGTACTATTAATTAAACATTACCATCAGCTCCGTACCAGTGGCGTTGACGGATTTCTGAAACTTGATATGTAGATCCCAAAGTTTTGACATCAGTGCCATCAGTTTGATTTATTTGATAGAGAATTGGCGTCCGTCAGGATAATAAGGGCTAATGTCAAAGAATAGAGCATTTTGAAGAAAAACTGTTTTTCTTTATTATCTGTGTGTTAGGTTCCTTATTTATTGTAAATCTGATCGTTATCGTGAGGCAAAACATCACCGTTTATTGCGGTATTGCATGTCCTCCGTGATTCATAATAGCGTCCGCGTACAATAGTGTGAGGGTTCTTGATTCTGGATTAGGTCTTTGAAGGTTAAAATGAAGTAAATATATACACATGTTCTTTTTTTCTACAGATACATACACATAAGATTTAAGAGTATACAATGAAATTTAAATTCCATCTTTGTTATTATTAACATTTCTAAGGACCGATATTTAATTTGTTTATTTATTTCTAATTTATAAGTTAAGTCAAATTTGAACAACTAGGGGCATTGCTTCTTGAGCAAACGAGAAGAGTATGCATTATACAAAAGTTATGGTTATAATATTTGTGATTTAAAACAATGCATTTTTTCCCGAAGAAATAAACAAAATACAAATTTTGAATATAGAGTAGAAAAAGCTTGATTCAGGAGAAAGAGTCGAACTCAGATACTAAGTAGATTAGACACTTTTATGAAAAATCTATTTAAGGTTATTTGGAGGCACTCCTGGGGCTCGTTTTACAAAAGAACTTACGACTAAGACCAAAAATTTTAGTTGATTGTAAAATTTTGCAAAATTATTTATCATGTTTGAAATTGCTAGCATAAAAATATCTTGCTAAATTCTTTTTAAAAAAATTAAAGCCATTTTCAAACCAATGTAAATTAGAAAGCAATAAGCAGAATTAAATTTTGGTCTTAGTCGTAAGTTCTTTTGTAAAACGGGCCCCTGGTTTTAAAAAAATTCAATGCGCTTATAATCACTGATGATTCATATTATTCATTAAATATGAAGTGAACGAAATGTAGATGCTATAAATATTTTTTTTTCATTTGTGTTCATTATCAATAGTCTTCATTTTCATATTTATTAATCATTAGCTGCAATTTCAGAAATTACGTACTGTAGTAATCTGAAAGTGCATGTTCGGCTTAGAACTTCTGGGTTTTTTTTAATACTTTTTAGAAAAAAACCAAGGCCATTTTTATGACTATAAATCCTTTGGCTATAAATGGGCTGACTCAAAAAACTTTTTTTTAACCTCCAGGAAACGATTTTTTTTCTTTTCCCCTTAATCTTGTCAACAAATATGTTGAAGTTTTCTGGAAAAAATTTTCCCACCTACCTACCGACCCAATTTTTTTTTTTTTTACTCCAAATCGGGCGAGGGCAAACAAACATTATTTTAAAGATGGCCCAACTTTCATCCAAAGTAAACACAAGTAGCACCTGCTATCATTAAAAACAAGGTTTTTTTTACCAAGTTCTAACCACAGAAAATGGTCTATGATTGAGCCTTGCTCTTTCTCCTGAATTCTATGGGTTCTAATTTTTACGTAAGTAACCCACTTTTATTATCGGAAAGCTTTAAAATGTTCGCTAAATTACGCTACAAGTAACCACACTGATAATGAAGATAACTTATCTGGAGTAAGTGGTCGTCTTAGATGCTTAGTATTGAATAATCTTTGGTCCAAGTTCTACCTAACATGAACGTACATTGTATGTACCTTAAGCAAAGTTTTTTTTTAATTCTAAAAGAGTGAAGCCAATATAGGACCTATCAAAAATGTTTCTGAATTCGATATAACGAATTTAATTCGTTATAACAATTTCTTTGAATTCGTTATAACGAATTTAATCTGTCATAACAAATTTATTGAATTCGTTATAGCGAATTCAAAAATTTTTTTATAACGAATTAAATTCGTTCAACGAATTCTAGAACTTTCTTATAACAAACTAAATTTGTTTAAACAAATTCTAAAATTTGTTATAACGAATTAAATTCGTTTTATCAAATTCAACAATCGGATCCTATAGAAAATCGAAATCGAATTCAAAAATATTTTTGATAGGTCCTAAATGGGCTTCCATGGAGTAGAGTTTTCTTCTTTCATGTCAAAATTGCATTTTCGCTTTAAAAGGCATAATAGCAGCTGTGCCAACGGAAAAAGTAACTCTTGAGAAAAAGATGAAAATCTGAAAACTTTACAACAACGACGATGACGACAACGACATACAACGGACAAAACTCACGTCATCCTTTGGCTCAAGTGAGCTAAAAAAAAAAAATAGAGATAAAAAAAGCAAACAAAATTTAATTATTGATTACCAACTCTTTGTATTCATAAATAGATAGAATGTATAACAAAAATAAGTGCACAGTACATGATATTATGAATACACAATGGAGACAACATTGTCCTCTTAAAGTAAGCTACTTTGTACTCATACTAATATCAAACAAATGCCGGTAAATAATAAATAAATAAATACCCAGTATATCTTTATGTACAGGTCTCTATCAACAAAACTATTTTTTAAAGTTAGATGAGTGGTTTTCTTAGTAAATCTACCTATTTCTATTACTAGTGATGTATATAGTCAAGTATAATCCCGTTCATAGAAACGTACACTGACTTCATTCAAGACAAACATGTACAGTTTCCTACTTGCAACCATTCTGCCAAAAGTCTGAATATAAAAATATTCAGTGGTACAAACAAAAAATACATTATACATGTCTGTGATATGTACATGTCAGATCAAACAGTTTGTGTCGTTACGTTTCTGCTTTTTCTCTTCCGCACCGATTCCAACTACCGGTCTGTTGCTGCAACCAAAAATATTGACAACATTGGCAAGCGTGATATGCCTTGGTACCTCGTGGCTTTTGCTGACATATTTATCTGTCATCGTCAAAATCGTCATGGTCATCGTCATCATCATCATCATGGTTGTATTCTTCGTCGTAGTCACCGAAAAAGTTTGTAGGATTACAACGAAAGAATTTCAGCTGTAAAAAGAACGTAAAATTATTAATATGTTGGTGACTTTTTACAACATAGTGGATGATAATATTACATTTGTGTGAATTCAAGATTAAAACGTTTTAATTAATCACATTTCTTGTGAAAAATAATACATAAATTGAAATATAATTTATTTGCTAAATGTTTCTCTAATTGTCAATGAGAGCGTGTAAATGCTTAGAACATTTTTAGCAAATCTTTTATCTTTGACATGTATATTTACCTCATCAAAATACCCAACAAAGTTGGAGCAGCCTTTAGCGGCACCGATCACCATAGGACTCTTACCAGTCGCTATACCAGTGTCTGAAATGATAGATGACGCAAATAAATACAGATTGTTGGTTCAAAATCACTTAAAGCAAAATGCAGAAGCAGAGTACAAACTTAGATTTTACGTTTCACAGATGTTGGTTCAAATAAAAATCTTCAGATTTTACATTTCACAAACAGTGACCACTTACGTAAATGAACAAGTGCTGGGGAAGAGTTGTCAATTCTCATGTTCAACTTGTCGTCAGATTTGGCGATTCTCACAAAATGAGGTTGCATTGGGTCCTAAGAAAAAAATTGTAATGCATTTATTAAAGCTTCTAAAATTTTAACTGTGTTAAAAACTGTTATAGGTATTCAGCATATCAATATAATACGAAAACGTAGTATATGATTAATACTCACTACGCCATTGACGTCAAGCGTCGCTACGCTTCCGTCTCTGAGTACGAAATACGCTTTAACTACTCCCAGAGAAGGGATAAAAGTTAATTTGTACGTGAAATGAATATCCTCAAAGTCATTAGACAAAAGAGCGATTTCTCCTTCATAAGATTTGACCATAAACTCAAAACAGAACGAAAAATCTCCATCAAGGTCCATATTGTTCATGGCCCAGATGAGGATTTTGCCGCCATGATCAAAGAGCACCGACTTCCGGAAAAGAACAACTCCTGTGGTGGGCATCTGTTGTACACGGTTATATCGCTCCAGGAAATTTCCGTTGTACTTGAAATGGAACATCGGTTTGCAGCCTACAAAGAAAAAATCTATAATATTTTGTATCATCTCTTTAATGAAGAAAATGGTTTAGAAGTGTTTAAATTTAATATGTGTACTATTTTAAAAATAGAGTTCTTAGGATCTCTTTGATATTTTGTCAATAAGGCCAATTCTGTTCCATATTCCTCAAGAACGTTTTAAATGAATTTCAAACTTACCTGCTTTTTCTACTTTTCCTGGGATGATCCAGTCACATGTACATATATCGGGGCGGTACCACGTCCCCCTCGGGCACTTCATGGGGGTCATTGTCTTGTGTCCGTTATACAGGTAGAACAGATTTGGGCGACCAGGAAAAGGCAGAGTGGTCCCAAAAGCACAAGCTGTGATATTCAAAAAAGATTACGAGGTATAACATTGCGTATGTTTAGTCCTGATGATATACTACAAGTAAGTCTCGTATCTGTTTTACAAATGGAGCATAATATTGTTCAAACAAATTTGGTCTGATCAGCTGACATATTTGTTTCATTCAATGAACATTCACGATGCCACTCTTATAAAAGATGAACTTTAGGGTAATGATGGTGTTAACAATGAACCTTCTAGTACGCATGTGAGTTAAGGCTAGATATAGGCTATGCAAATGAGCTTATAAAAACAAATTAGACGCATATTTATTATTCAGAGAAAGTTCTGATTTATTTTCTTATGCACACTTAGTACCCTTGATATGTCATAGCCAGTACACATTATGACGTCATATTATGACGTCACTGATCTTACCTACTGGTGGTAATAAAACACATCTACAAAACAGCTTTTGCGCACGGGGTTACCCTATTTATTTTTACATAAAAATTGTATAATGCTAAGAAGAATATTCTACAGATTAATAAAACTGCTGCACAAATCCTAGGCATTTTCTCATTTGATCGGAATTTTAGGAAACTTATACCGGACTGTATATTTTTACCCTTATTCAACTTAAAACTTTACAAATAGAAATTATTCAACTGAGCTGTTGATATTTGTGCAGCAGTACCAACAAACTTTGGAATATTATGCTTCTAAATATACCTTGTTTCAGTTAAATAAAATAGAGCATGCCCTTGCGCCGAACCATTTTTGTTGATTTCCATTATAATTTTGTGTAGTAAAGAACAATGACGTCATAATGTGTACTGGCTATCTCATGTCGTGGGTATCAAGCATGTATATTTTAGGAATGACTCTAATTCTTGGCCAAATTATTCGAGTATAACCTGGTTTGGGTCAGTTTACGCTTTATACTAGTAATCCGCGAAGCGGATTATAAAACAGCGTAAACTGACCCAAACCAGGTTATACTCGAATAATTTGGCCAAAAATTAGAGTCATTCCTTATAATTTAATTCTAAAATCATTAAACAACTGTGGGTGTAAAATTTCGTTGCTTTTTATTAGTTCAAATTTGCCGCTCAATAATACAACCCTAGTAACGGAAGTGATGGGTAGCGAGGGGAGGTAAAAACTGATACATAGTCCTAGCAGCCATGTTGTTTGTTTACATGTGGTAAGATCCAAGTTACTGTTTGAAGTTAAAGGTACATTTATTAAATCTGGAATTTTCCATGAATCCCGAGGACTGGAAATGAGAGGATTGCATGGATACAGACGATTCAGCTGGTTGTCAGGGGGTGTGTCCCCATACCAAACCAGGTTATACAGAAATAATTTGTGTTCCTTTTTGGATATTAACCAATCAGAGGCTAGAAAACAAACAAAATTAAATTATTAGACAATAAGTTTTAACTTTCTCTGTATAATAGATATAGTCCTTAGACATTTTAATCAGTTCATTTGCATAGAAATGCCTATACCTACATGTAGCCTTAACTCACCTGCGTAGCTTTGTCGTTTTAATATACTTACGGTGCACCAAGTTGTTCTTGTGACAAGTCGAGTCTGGAAAACACCCCTGTTTATAGGGGTTGAAGTAGAAGCCATCATTACAAGTGAGGTATCGGGACTTTCCCTTGATGCACTGGTAAAATCCGTAACAGCTTTGACCGTCAGTGTACGTAAAACCATGAGGCTTCCGAAGACAAGGATCTGTTAAAATAATTTGTTAGTACAAAATTGTATCTTCCATAACCATTAGACAAGGATAATTATTTTTATTCACTAGACTAAAAAGTGCTTAGACGAGATTGAAATCAGCCCATCATTAAAGAAATTTAATTTTAAAATAAAAAGATTTATGCTAAATATGTGCTCTATAATTCATCATTTTTTTTTAAATTGGCGCTTAGCATGACTGAAAATATCAATATCCTCATTATACAATATAAAAAAAACATAAAGTATGCCTTAAATATGATTTTTGTAACATAAGTTAGCATTTGAAAAATATCTTTATAACCTTTCGACTTTTTCTAATACATTTAATATATATATTTGCACAACCAAAGAACTCGTTCAACATGTAAGACAGTACCTGCGGGGCACATGACTTCGTCGGCATGACGACATTCCTTTCCGTCGTAAAATGTCCCCGCCGCGCATGTCTGAATGAAAGCCCTGTCCTCGGCGCAGTGGAGGTACTGGTTACAGGACCCCCGGAGATGGGAGTACGACCAGCCACCCTTCAGGTCTTCCCCATTACATAGGCCAGAAGAAGGTTTACCTGTTAAAAATATTTAATTTCAATTTATGGTTTGTATTTTAATATTTTTGGGCATTTTGGGGTAAAAAAAAAAAAGAAGAAGAAATCAAGATTCCATGTACTATTTTTTAAAATGAATAATAAAATGTTTTTCAAAATGTCTTTGAATATCATTTTAACTGAATATAAATGCCTTTTGAAACAAAAAATTTTCTTTTATCTCTTATTAGAAAAATATACGCATAGTTGTTCTGTTAAGTGTGCAAGGTGAACTGTCTTTCCAGGGAAAACAAAAAATCCACAAAGTACTTACAAAAACATAAGAACTTTAATTATAAATCAAGGATAAAGAAATACGTGGATTCAAACCTTTATCATAATATTGGCCGAAACTTTCTACCGATGTGACTAGCTCAAATTCCGAATCGTCATCATCGTCATCAGCGAAGGAAGTCAGGAACAAACCGGCCAATAGGCATGCGTGAATTATTAATATCCTAAGAAGATGGACAAATGTAGGATGAAGTATAAAATTTTGAGGAATTTAAGCTCTTAATTTAAAACAATTTTATTGATCATTATATATAAGATTTATGTACATGTATAGTACTAAAATTCTCCTTAAGAACATCAGTACAGTTTCCATTTTGAAGATCTGAACATGGGATAAACGACCAGAGAGCTGCAGATCCATGCGTGCAAATGTGTGCAAAAACGGTATATATTTATTCTTTAATTTTCAATGAGAGTCATATAAATCATTTTTTATAATATTCCCAGACAGAAATCCAACCGAAATCATGTGTCTTTGCCATAGAAGTTAGACAAATTGGAAAACAGTCCTTTTGGGTTGCACACACAGATCTGTAGCTCTCTGGTCCATTTCATTTTTCCCTGAGAACGTCGAACTTCAGTTTGACGGAAAAGGTGGAATGCACGAAAACTTTTATATGAAGAATTATTTTTCGTTTCAAAATACTGTGCTCTTCGTTGCAGGTGTTTGTCATTATTATAAATTAATAATTTAAAAATCAACTTTTTTGTACATATGTTTTTAAACAAGTTATAGTTTTCGTGATTTTTCCTCCTCTATAGTGGTAAAATATATTCTTTTTTTTTTATTTGTATTTTCCTTTAACTTAAAATATTAGGATAATCTTCAACAATTAAGAATTATTCCGTCTAAATCTTACCTCATTGTTGTAGACCAGCCGTATCCTCTGAAAGTAAAACAGTATTTGCCGCAAAGGGCATTTCCATTCCTTAATTAGTCCCTACATCACGTAGTAGTCCATTTATTAACCCTTATATAATAGATAATTAAGAAAAAGACTTCTATATAAAATAATTATTATTTTCACAGATTTTGGAAATTAACCTGGACATGTTTATGATGTAATGATCGTTATCTTAATCGAGAAACTAGGTCATTGTCCAGCGCGCGCTTTTGTCGGACCGATGATTAGAAGGTGCGATGAGCACCCGCTCGGAGAACGCTTGTTTCACAAGCTTGGGACACATGTTTTTGGGAATTAACACGTGTTTTGTTATGTTGCACTTATAATTAATTAATCCTGGAAGGATCTCGGAAATTCAAAGATTAACATGTCTTCCATTGTGCTCGGTTTGATTTCTTTTCTCCGTGTTTCAGTAGACAAAATATTTTTGATAAAAGAACTTATCTGCAACGGTTATTAATGCCCATTTTAAAGCAAGATGGCCTTTACTTAGGAATTCTGTTAAAGGTATTGTTGTTTGAAAACGCATTGCCCCCGATTCATATCAATCCTTGGTGAACTGTAAAAGTTTTGTTTCTTGTTTTTTCCTTCTTAGTTGTAAATCGGAAAATCAACAAAATGACTTTAAATTGCTCAGAGATTATTTCAAATAAATTCTTGAAATATTTGTTGATCAATTTTTTAAAAAAAATTAATACCTTTCTTTTTTGCTACAAGTATGTACATGTACATGTATATACATTTATAAAATAGTGTTAACTTAAACACTATCTTAAAAATATCTAGAAAAGTATATTTTTAGAGACAGATTTTCCATAGAAACACTGAACAGAAATAACATACGTATGCCTGGAAACAGGAGATATAAATATTATTTCTTAAAACAATAAATGTGTATTTCCTAGAGGATCATCATTCTACCTAAATGTCGTACATCTGACATAATTCTATTAAAGTCATACCGTATAAGTTAAATCTTTAGCGATACACAAATTTAGCGAGTTGTCCATAAAAATCAGTATTTGATTTTAGCGAGAGGTATTTTTAGCAGTTAAATGGTGCATAGAAAGATAACAGTAACCTCCAATACAGAATAAATTGTTAGCGATATTTAATATTAGCGATCGCCATCTCTAAAAATGCCAAAATTGAATCCTCGCTTAAATTTCTGCTTATACGGTATATGGCGCATTTTTTGATAAGTTCAGGTAACCAAAATTAAAAAGGTTATATCTATTTGTTTTATTACTTTATATAAAGATAGGACTTCCCTGTAAATTACACAATTTAAATCAATCGCGTTTCAAAGATATTTAAAATTTAAAACAATAACCAATTTATTTAAATAACATTTAAATAACAGACAAATTTAAAGTCAATTTAACTATAGAAAGGTTTTTAAAGCTCAAAATCGTTGAAAATTTTGATGGTTTGAACATATTTTATTGCATAAATAATATACAAATGGTTTGAACATTTCGGAAAATTTTAATTTGAACGTAAATAACATATGTCATATATCATGTATATTTACACTCAATCTCGTATTATTTTTCAAGCTCAGATACGCCATATATAACTATTGAAGTCACGACCAAAAACAAACCGCTTGTTTTTTCAGTGACTGTTTATAATATTATCAAAGATATTTTCTGAGTCAATTGCAATATCTATGTTCATCCTTCGTATTGTTGAAATAAATAGAGGATATTCAATGTTTTGTAGATGAATATGGAATTTATTTCACGAGTGGGTTTGGATTTTTTGATATTTTCACGAGTGCGAAGCACAAGTGAAAATATAAAACAAATCCTGTCTCACGGATGAAATAAATTCCATATTCATCTACAAAACATTGATTTTTCTGTTTATTACATTTTATTTGATTTTCCCTTTGCATCTGTCTTTTCTTAACACAGTGTCAGAGGCTTGACGTCATAGTTGAGCGGTTGAGACTTCATAGCTTAGCAGTTGTGTGATTGAAAACATTACATAGCATGGATTTTAGCAACATATTTGGGAAGAAATTTGCAGTTTTAGCTCTATCAAGATGCCTAGTTACTATCTCTATCTTATGACAGGCCAGAAATTATTTTTTACCTACTTTGATATCCTTCCACACTGTGAGAGAATATCATTTTGGTATCCTTTCACACTGTGAGAGAATATCACTTTTATTGATTTTTCCAATTGTCATGTTGTAAATTTTGAATTTGCCGGGTGGCAGTAAATACAAAATTTACAACATGACAACTGTTGTAAATTTTGTATTTACTGCCACCCGGTAAATTCAAAATTTACAACATGACACAATAAATAAATCACAGTATTTCACTGTTGAAAATGTAATAAAGTAGGTGAAGGAATTTTAGATAAATATAATTACATAAATGTTCGAATCTGTGTTAAATCAATCACAGTAATTGTTAAAAACAGAAAAATCAAATACTGATTTGATCTGATTTGAACAAATTGTGTAATTGCCTTGTGAAACACATCCAAAGGATGGGGAAAGGTTCCTCTCATGATGTTAGTAAATTGATACAATTGTCATAATAATAATTACATAGTAAATACATGTAATATTGCCAAATGACAAAAATATATTGAAATTTTAATTAAATCTTCCAGATTCAATTACATATTTATTTTTATTAACTGCTGCAAAAATAAAGCAGTTCATATCATAGGATAAAGTGTCAATACCCATAGCAACAGATTTGTGTCTATTAAGATTCTTCCTTCAGTCTAAAATAAGTTTGCAAAGAGACTGTTTCTTGTATTTATACATCGTTAGACGTTACGCGCGATGTTGGTGACACTTAACGTTACGTTAATAGCGCTACGGAAGTATTGACGTAGCGCTTCTTGTAGTCCTTCTAATGACCTATCGCTATCTCCTTGCTCTGGAAACATGCATGAAAAATTAATGATGAATTTTAATTTGACAAAAATAAAAAAAAAAAATGCTCTCAATCTGTGTATAAATTTACCATTTTCTTTAACTCATGCAGTTTTCTTCGAGGCTTCAGCTCACCCTGCCTTTATTTTTTCCGAAAATTGGTGAAAATGAAAAAAAAAATCCGTACCATATTATATACATATTTCAATATTCAATTATAAGAGACACAGTTATATCAAATATTTGTTATTTTATTTTTTTTAATTACATATCGAGTGCTGCCAGTATATCCAGGTGTTCATCTTCCGTCAGTTTTAGCCTATTTCCAACAACATCATTGAGGAGTCAGAAAATTTTTGGTAGTGCCCCCTCAACTGTCAACTGAAAAATGTTTGGCTGTGCCCCCCCAAACTGAAATTGCTTCCTACGGGCCTGTCCTTTGCCAAGCACTCGGCACTAGAAGTGAAAGTCACGGGTCTTTCGGATGAGATCTTAAAAACCGAGGTCCCGTGTCATGATAGGCAACCCTCACTGCTCAATGGCCCCGAGTGCCGAGTATAGGTCTAAATTTGAAGCCTTTCACCTGCATACGGTGACGTCTCTATATGAGTGAAAAATTCTCGAATGGGACTTTAAACAACATCCAATCTATCAATCAATCAAATTGGTACAATAACTTAATATAAAGAATGTTAAAGTATTATATAATTTTTAATAAATATAATTTTTTTTGTACTTAACAAGAACATTTTCTTAAGAAATTACAAAAACTATTATTATATGTTACTATATATTATACATACAATACATATACTTTTGATGGCAATTTTACCGTAATATGCACTTGAATGTTTATGTTTGTAAATATTGTTTATAAGATACATGTCACTTAACTCTAATAAACTGAACTAAATCATTGCATACATCGTCGCAAACCACGGCCAAAACGTACGATCCTCTCCCATTCTGGGGAGAGCTATATATGCAGACTCCGGACCATGGCTTGAGACGATGCATTGCATACAAAAATACAGAACCCCGATAACTCGTAACCTTATACCACTATTTTTCACTAATTAACAATTTTCAATTGAATAACTAGTCATGTACTCATTGGAAATTATATAAATGTTATTTATCCCTATAATCCATTATTGGCAATCTTCCACTTGATGTCAAACTATAATTTTCGTACACCATAAATCATGTAAATTAATCATAAATATTCCACATAAATTGATATTGGTCTTCGACAAAAGATGCCATTGTCTTCAGGTGGAAAATAACTCACCGTCAGAGATAAAATGTTTACATGGGAAGAAATTCTGTGGATTTTCTCCGGTGTTGCTCTAGACTGAATTCAATCAAAGCGCAATTAACGCTAATCTTTATATTACCCATGAGAGTAATGCGAGACAAATGATGGCAGCACTGCTGAGGGAAGGATCCAACATTTTTTCAGATTTAAAATTAAAGCTTTAAAAGAACAATATAAGGCCTTTCATTGGAGGTTGGGGGGGGGGGGGGGCGTGATTTCAATTTCCTACGTGCTCAATAATAATAATGAGTTTAAAATGAAACATATGATTATAGAAAATAAACGAGTAAACGATAAACAAATTCAAATAAAAAGGAAATTAAAATACATGTTTGAGTTTGTAACCCTTATTTTTTTTTTTTTTTTTTAGAAAGTATAAGCGTATCACAGGTCACTAATTTTACCCCTTTTCATTGAACACTCAAGTAGTGCCATATAAAAACACTGTTTTTTTCATAAATATGTCTTCGGATGTATACGGGGTGGAATGGGCTGATTTTAGGGCATAGATGGGAAGGAGAGTGTCTGGGGGGAAAAGAATTAAAATTTCAAATATTGAGAAATATTGCCTTTGAATGCGTATTAGGAAGGGTGTAAAGGTATCACACCGGTAATTGACCAATCAAAATGAACTTAATTGTAGTTCCATACAAAAAAAGAAATATTTTTTTTATTGTGAGAAATTTTTTAATTTCCCTTATTCTATTTTTACATTTTTGGTACCTGTGCTTAGGATATTTTATGTACTTTGTAAAATATTAAAGGCTTTTGACAGGAACTATTTCTTTCGGGGCATAGGAGGCCACTTCCTGGGGTGCACACCGGATGTTTATAAACACATTGAATACACGTGGTTTTGAGGGTATTCCTGTTTGCGGATGGAAAAAATCAGAAAATGCCGTGTAGGTACCCTATTTTTGGTGTCAGCTGATGTGACTGGTAACGTTTAACACTTCCTGCTAAATATTTTTTCATGAATTCGAATACCTGATTTTTAATGATTTTTTTATTCTATATAGAATTACATAGTGAAAACAATTACCGGTGTGATACCTTAAATAGGCCATGTTTACCTTCTTCTCAAGGGGTAAGTTAAATATGCAGGGTATGGGGTAACTCACGATGTCTTAGAGGGACTTGTACACTATAGCTTCTCCTTAGATTTAAAAATATTTTAAGGCTATAATAAAAAAGAAATCGCTAATTTTCAAGATATATTTAATTAATTCTAAATAAAATTTAAATAAATTCCACATGCAAAAAAGGTAGAAGAACGCGTGGTAGCAAAATAATATTGAGCATATTAAAGGAAATAAATGCTATAATTATCAATGACATCCGAGGAAAATATTTGTAAAAGTATTTGTTTTTAGATCCACCTCTACAAGATTCTGCCATAAATTGTCTCGAATCACTCTTAGGGGAATATCGGTGATCAGTGTTAATAGCACTTGTATTGAGTTCAGCTCAAAGCTAAATCGGACGGGATTTCTTGGGATGATAATGCAGAGAATAACAATGAAACTAGGAATAATAATTAAGGCTGACAAGTTCTTTTGTAATACAAAGGGAAAAAAGGCAATTCACTCCTAAATTCTTTTTTAAATTTTTAAAATTTTATTTGAACAGTTATCATAACCAAAAGGAAATCAACAAATTATTTTCTTTTCTGTACATCCATTAACAAGGTCGCACTGTCGTCCTGCTAAAAACTTCGAGAGAAATAGCTCCAAATTAGAAGAATGCTCCTACAACATCTTATTTCATTAGCAATTCGTGTCATCTGATTTCTCAAAAACAGAGGAGGTTGGATGGGAAGCTGTTGAAGAATCTGTACTTAACGAACACAGGCCACTAACGGTATCCAAGGCAACGTAATTACACGTGACGTCAGTGAGACAGATCCTGGTGCATGATGACCAGCTTCCGGCGGAAGCAGTCGACGTTGGTGTCGCCAGGGTGAGTTGTTTTCCAACCAGAAGAAACTTGGAGCAGCAATCCTGAACCCGCTCTAAAATGTTTCAATCAGATTAAAATGAATCCAATAATTATGAAAAGTTTCTATGAATTTTCTTATTTTATTGAATTATATGAGATCACAAGTAATTTAAGTGAAACCAAGGACAAAAAAATGAAACTAATAATTTGTCTTGAAGTCCTCTTGTAAACAGTTTTTGCTGTGTATATTATGTCAGTTTATTGATGATTTTCATAAACCAAACATATGGAGGGCTTTATTAACATAAACTGAAATGATTAAATATATCTTAATTATTTGAAGACAACATCGATTCATTTGATGCGCCCCCAAGATGTCTTCAAACAATTAATGAAATCTTCAGTTTCGAATTCTTCATCTGAACTCAATTATTGCGCACATATTTAAAATTTTTGATTGCATTGATTAATTTGTTGAATTGATGCGCGGAATATAGCAATTAATCAGATGAATATATTATATCAACAATTGAACAGAAACTCGAAACAATTCAATTGATGCAAATAATAATTTAATTTATACCGGCAATAATTCTGAGAGAGAGAGAGAGAGAGAGAGAGAGAGAACAACATTAAGTAATGATTTATTTATAATCTTTGCTCTTGTATAATTCAGAGATTGTAATTTTTTTAAGAAAATAGATGTGTGAGTGAGTGGGTGCAGGGCGACCCTTTCTTTTAATATGAAAAAGGCGAAAATAACGAACATTGATCGATCTAAAAAAAACAACCTACAAACAATATACATTGTCTTAGAGTAAGGACTACTTGTTTAATTGTAAGTAGTTGCCTTGTGAGGTTTGACGTAAGATCAAATTTTTATCATTGTGTAACATGTGATTATGAAACTGGCAGGCATTTAACAATCATTTCTTAACACACTCCTTCTTGGATAAGGTCATTTGTGTTTAACTATAAGAATTGCACTTGGAACCATTGTTTAAATTTCTGATTAACTAAACAATACTGTCTATCATCAGTATACATTGTATATCGATTTTCAGACAAACAAATACGTTTAATTTGTGTATACCATTGTTAAAATTATTACGAAAGAGTTTTTTCCTTTAATATCTTTTTTTTTTTTAATTTGTATAGAACAAATATTGGAAAAGTTCTTTACATCGTTTACCTTAAGGTCAAGATCTAGTAAATGAAAGGTGCCTACAGATTTCTCAAATTTGAGAAATAAATTCCTTTAATTATGCTTTATAACTTTAGCATGGTCAAATAAGGTGTTTTGGGGCATAATTTGTAAGTAAACAAGACAAAAAAATCATATTTTAAACTGTCATGTTCAATGAAAAATTAAGAAAACCAGTCATGAATACGGGAGTTTTTTTCCATATCAGACAAGGGAAATGTATCAAGATTGCCTAGAGTCTCTCAGAAAACGGTAATTTGTATGTTTTTGGCCTCTTCTATAAAATAATATTAAATTGAATATAGGTATCGGGATTACTTTTCACATGATTTCAAATTGAATTCCATGAAAATACTTTATTTTCTACATAATTCTATTAAAGCCGTAAAGTACGGGAAAAAGAAAGTTGAAATTGATTATGACGTCATAATGGATCTAGCACCAAAATGATAGTCTAAAGCCATTTACTAGATCTTGACCTTAAGTTCTGTGCATTTATCTGACGTAAAATTCGAAATAGGAAACCCTTATCAAATACCGGTGTATAATATTCTCACTATGTTGCGATTTTTCTTTTATTATCCATTATCATTAAGACAATTATCATCCTATCAATCGAGGCTACTATAAACTATTTCCGAGCTTTAAATATCTGGAACCTCACACTGGTTTTAGTTTCAGTTCAAATGCATGTATTTCCAAGCAAAGTAGAGTTCTTAAAAATCGACGCATCGCTTCTGTTTCATCTGACATATTTTGTCTAAATATGTAGATTACATTTTTTGTAACAATCGATGCATCAAAACTTTCACAATTGCAATGATGAAATATTTCATCTTCTGACTGCGAATCATTAGGAAACTAACTTTTCTTATGGAGTTACTTTTGCAATTATATTTGCTATATAAAGTACCTGATCGAGAAGTGTAACCATTTCTCGAATCATTTAAAAAGTAAAAGATAAACGCTCCAGAACGTGGCCAAGTTGTGAAGTAAACAATAGTTCCTGGATGTAATATATATGTAATACTACGAGAATTTACTGGACATTGTTATTAAAATTTCCACTGCGTTTGTGGTCTAAGTCTTTGGTTTGAAACGCTGCAGAAATTGAGAATCGACTCAAGCTCTCGGCAGAAGAATTCGCTAGTAGGACCTGGGGTAATCCAAAAATAGTTCCCGAAAAATTCTTGTAGAACTCTTTTATCATTAAAGGTGCAAATGCATGGCCAAAGTTAACCAAAATCAATATTTAGTACAAGTGACCAAAGTAACTAAAATGAATATTATTTACAAGTAAAAAAAAGTTAACCAAATCAAACTTAGTAAAGATGGCCAGATGTAAACAGAACCAAAATTACGTACAGGTGATAAGAGGTAATAAAAAAGAAAATAGTGCAAGTGACCAGAGGTAAAAAAAAAAAATACCTTAATTAAATATATAACCAGGGGTAACCAAAAATAATAAGTAAAAGTGACAAGAGATACCCAGAAACAATCTGAGTACAGTTTACGGTTACCGAAATCAAAATTTAGCACAAGAGACTAGAAATAAATTAATAATCAAAAATGAATACTGAACCAGAGGTAAAAAAATTCAAATATAAGTACAAGTGAATTACCAACAACTAACCATTACAGAAGATGACCAGGGATAACTTAAATCAGCTAATATCAAGTACGAGTTATCTGAAGTAACAAAAGTCAAAATGAAGTACAAATGACCAGACGTAGGTAAACAAAATCGAAATTAATAACAGGTGACCAGAGGGAAACCAAAATTGAGTACAAGTGATTTGATGTAGCATAAAACCAAGCCTTAGTATAAGTGATGAGAGTTAACCAAAATCAAGCAAAAGTTAACAGAAGTAACCAAAATCAAGATTATAAGTCCAAGAGACCAAAGGTAACAAAAATACAAGTTAACTTAGGTAACCAAACTTCAGCACAAGTATAAGTGACATGAGGTTACCAAACTTAAGCGCAAGTATAAGTGACATGAGGTTACCAAAATTAAGCACAAGTATAAGTGACATGAGGTTACCAAACTTAAGCACAAGTATAAGTGACATGAGGTTACCAAACTTAAGCACAAGTATAAATGACATGAGGTTACCAAAATTAAGCACAAGTATAAGTGACATGAGGTTACCAAACTTAAGCACAAGTATAAGTGACATGAGGTTACCAAAATTAAGCACAAGTATAAGTGACATGAGGTTACCTAACTTTATAAGCACAAGTATAAGTGACATGAGGTTACCAAAATTAAGCACAAGTATAAGTGACTTGAGGTTACCAAAATTAAGCACACGAATAAGAGACCAGGCCCCAGGATCATGAAACAGACTTAGACTTTAGTCAAATTTTCAATTGCCCGTAAGATGTTTATTATTTATTAAATTAATCTCTAATTTTGCAGAGAACAACATTTTTGTAAAGCAATACTGTACAGGGTTGTCCCTAAGACCCGGGGCCGGGGAATTTCCCCGCCTATAATGATGTAATCCTCCAGTTATTCTGGTATTCCCCCTCAACCCCTCCCGTTAGGGAGGAACCCGAAAAACCCTTCAACTTTTTAAATGTCCCCTGCTATTTCAATTCTTAGGGACAACCCTGACTGTAAAAGAGTTTGATTTTGGTCTGCTTGACTTCTACAACATTTCAGTACAACGTAAAGATTTTGACTTAAGCTTAAGATGTTTCATGATCCCGGGGCCAGAGGTAATCAAAATTAAGTACAGTGTATAAGTGACCAGTGGTGATCAAAATTAAACCTAAGTATAAGTGACCAGAGGTAATAAAAATTAAGTATATTGACTATAGGTAATCAAAATTAATCTATACAGGTCTGTATAGTCACGAATACACTTCATTAAAAATGTCAGTAGTTGTATAAAGTAAAATTCCTCAATGATGATTTAAACATGATATGACAAAGTTACAATGTTGGAACCTGCACATTAAACAAAATAACCTTTGCGTAAGGTTATATCTTGCCTGATGCTTTAAATGAAATGAGACAACAAAACATACATGTAATTATGTATACCACAGCTTACGAAATACGTACCCTCACTTGGAATCGATGTTTCCGGTCCAGGGAAATCTGACGTTGGAACCTGAGTTGTCATCACTGTTGACTGAGTCGTTGTCGCATTTCTCTCTTCGTTTATTACATCTGTTGTCATCACTGCGGACTGAAAAGTAGTCGTCGTCATATTTCTAGTATCTGTTGTCATCAAAGCATTAAATGACGTCAATTCAACAATTGACGTCATTGTTGTGCTCTCAGTTGTGATGGCCTGTGTTGTTTTCTCTACAGTTGTTGGTAGCATCATGTTGTAGAAATCAATGCTGCCGATTGGATCACCTATATATCAAATTATTTGATATGTTTTAAAAGTGTACCTTTCCGAGTTTTGTTGCACAGACATTTTATAACGATAATGTTTGTGCAGAGTGTTTGAATTTGAGAGTACAAATTCCCTTGATGGGGCATGGACAAACTTGCATTGCTGTTTTGTGTACACTTTTGAATTTCAATGGAAAAAAATAAAATAACAAATCAATCTGTTCATAAGTAAAGTGAAAATTTCATTTTTCATTCGAAGTTTCTCCTTGATGTCCTATAAAGTGATAACAAATGCAAAGATTTATAACAGGCCGTCCTGCTTTTTCACGATTTTATTTTCATGACCAATTCACAATGCTTTACCACGATTGGTTTTTAAATCACCTGAGCCAAAGGCTTCAGAGAGCTTCTCTGATCAAAGAGTATCAGGCGTCCGTCTGTCGTCTGTAAACTTTTCACATTTTCAACTTCTCAATCACCACGGGCCAATTTCAACCAAACTTGCCACAAAGCATCTTTGGGTGAAGAGGATTTAAGTCTGCTCACAGGAGGTGCAAGACCCTCTTTCAAGGGAGATAATTACTTATGCAGCAATATACCTTCATCACCTGCATACGGGGTTTATATCTCTCAGTTGATTCGATACGCAAGAGCACGCTCTACGTATGTACAATTTCTAAAACGAGGTAAATTACTGACAAAAATTTGATGAAACAAGAATTTCAGCAGTCTCGTTTAAAGTCATCATTTCGTAAGTTCTATGGTCGATACAATAACCTCGTCAGCAAATACAATTTATCATTGAGTCAAATGCTGACTGACGTTTTTCATACTAATTTTTAGGCCATTATTTACACACTGAATTGTCGACGGATTTTCCCGTTATTTCCCGATCATGACAAGGAGCACACGGCGGGTGTGACCGGTCGGCAGGGGATGCTCACTCCTCCATGGCATCTGATCCCACCTCTGATGTTTTGGAGGTTCGTGTTTGCTCTGCACCTATTTTGTAATGTTTAATGGACTTTTGAGCTTGAACACTGTTCGTTATCTCCATATATTTCATTAAGAATTCTTGAAAATTTTATGGCAACTTTTAAAAATCTTCTTCTCAAGAACCACTGGGCAAGAAAAGATGAAACTTACGTGAAAGCTTCATTATATACTCTAGATTCAAATTTATTCATATCATAACACCCGGGGGTAAGTCGGGGCTACAAGGGGGGTCAAAGTTTTGCATAGGAATATATAGTAATGTCTTTAAAAATATTCTTCTCAAGAACTGCAAAACCAAGGCTTATAGTCATATCATTATAGAAGTATCCTCAGGTAGTGTAGATTTAAGTTTGTTCCAATCGTGACCCATGGGGGTAGTGCAGGGCCACAACAGGGGGTCAAAGTTTACCATAGGAAAACATAAGAAATATCCTTAAAATTCTTCTTCACTAGAACAGCTAAGCCATTATTAGTCATATTAATACAGAAGTATCCTCAGGTAGTGTAGATTCAAGTTTGTTCAAATCATGACCCCTGGGGGTGGGCACAGACACAACAGGGGGCCAAAGTTTTACATATGAATATATAGGTGTAATGATGGTTAAGGAGCATTTGAGTAAACTCATTGAAGACTTCATATAGTGGTATAGCCTGACAACCTTTGGAATGGACTAGCCAAAGGGTATATAAGACAAAGCTTTGGGAAGTCAGGCATACAGAAGCTAGCTGAAGAAGTAGGATGCTGAATCAGCAATATAAAAGTTATGGGTAAGAGCAAAATAAAAGTATGAAAGTTATAAACACCAGTGGCAAGTATCCTAGGGAATTGATGTTAAGCTCTGGGTGTAGTAAATCAAGAAGATTGAGATACTCATTTCTTATCTATCTATGGAAATTTAGGGGAGAAACACGGTGCAAATTGTACCTTACCCAGTCTCTGTCTCCAGATAAGAGAAATTAAGTACTGTGTGATTTACTTCAGACAGAGCTGTCTTAATGATCTTTCCAATCATTAACTCAGACAGAGTAAAAGGAAAACCTATATATCCCTTGTAAGAACCTGATCATACATGTTACATAGGAAATAACTTTAAAATCTTTTTTCTCAAGAACAACTAAGCCATTATTAGTCATATTTATACAGAAGCAACCTAAGGTATTGTAGAATCAAATTTGTTCAAATTATGACCCCAAGGGGTTGGAAGTCAAAGTTTTGCATAAGAATAGATAGGAATCATCTTGAAAAATCTCAAAAACAGCAATGCCATGATTAGTCATATTTATATAAAAGCATCCTCAGATAGTGTAGATTCAAATTTATTCAAATTGGGGTGGGTAGGGTGGGGTCACAATGAGCGAACAGAGTTTTACATAGGAATACATAGAGAAAAAATATTTAAAATTCATCTGCTAAAGAACAGCAAAGCCATGATTAGTAATATTGATATGGAAGCATCCTGAGGTAGTGTAAATTTAAGTCCCCCGTCAACTTTTTAATACTGAACTGATTTTTGCTTCTTCCTAGCCAATGTGCTCACGTGAGCGATATGGCCCATGGTTCTCTTGTTACTATATCTCCTTTCCGTGATTTGTAAATGGTCACGGTTAGCGCTTAGCATCAAATGGTTGCCGATTTTACCCGTATTTCCCCGAGCCCGAGAGTTATACTCAATAGTGAGTATTTTCTCACAGTGTGATAAAAAGTTGAATGATTTTCGCATTTTACAATGGTCGGTGACAGGTTTTAGACGTTATGGAAATTGTTAATACAGAAACAAATCATGGTAACAAATGTATTATATATGGAGATCGCACCTAAATGTGATAGCATGCATATTTGTTCTATGGATCTTTAAATATCTAGACAAATGCTTGTTTTTAATCCGAGCGCTAATTGTTTTAAATCAATGTTTTTATCCAGTGATTTACTAGAATTATCCTGCTTAAAATCCATTTCCACCTCCCCATGGTAAGCAGTGGGCAATTGAGTTTATGTATTTAATTTTCAATATATGGTACGTGGCATTTACTCTTAGGTAAAATGTTCAAACACAACCAAACACCAATGAACAGAAATCACTGTTGTTTTACCTCTGAGAAAATACATGTAAATAACGTGATCAATTTATATATCTTGGCCTTTTAAAATGCTAAGAAAACTTTAATTCATTACAAATTGAGTAATATACTGTAAATTTCAATTTATTGGAATTTACTTCTAAGGGTAGATCACTCTATCTACAGAAAAATACTATTTAATGAGAACTCTTTAGTGTATACTGTGTAGTGTGGAAAGGGTTCTTAAAATAAGTCGCGGAAAAGCAAGCATTATAATCGCGGAAAAGCAGTGTTACTTGTCGAGGAAAAGCAGGATTTTTTTTCGCGGAAAGGAAGTGGCGAATTGCGGAAAAGTGGAACTGCGTTATAAGAGTGTTGGTAAAATGGAAGAAATTTGAATATCATAGAAAGTCTACATTTTTTAAAATATTTTAGAGATTTGATAAATGCTTCGTTTACAACCAAAATAAGTCCAAAATATATACAAATCCATGCATCCATTTTTTTTTTTTTTTTTTTTTTTTGTAGCATCTGTACCGTCCTTATAACCCACAGATGTACGAATAAACATCGTAATTGCAGAGATTTAATTATTCAAATATCGGAAAACACTTCTATATTTAACGTAAAAGCAGTTACGTTTTGGTTTATAACGATGCAAACTTTTAAACTTTAAAACTTGATTCCTAAATAAATTTATACTGGAAAAAAGTTTAACATTTCCATTGTTTTTCTGAGCCGATGCTGGACCGGTGGTAAGATATTGGACCGGTTGATGAAATATTGGGCCGTTAATGACTTTTTTACGTCACACTTTATTTTTCAGCATTGCCGGGATCACTTATATGCATTCGTTGGTGTTCGACAGTTACAAAATTGAACGAGTTAAATCCGCAATATGGATAAATGTAATTAACATCAAAATTTTATTGCAGACATGGAAGCCAGCGAAAGACACATTTATTGTAGGCAGGATGCGTTTTGAAGAACCCTCGAACCTAAAGGCCTCAGGCAAAGAGTTTGATTCTTGGGTCCGACAACTAATGTTGCCCTCAAGCCAAGTCAATGGATGTATAACAGCACGATATAATAAGTGGTGTTCAATACATTTTGCATTGGAACAATAGTATAATTTGCATTAAATAAATTTTGTGGCTACAATAAAACTCGGTTATAAAAACTAATTTAAAAGAAAATCAAGGTTATAAGGGAACTGCATCCTTTAAAAGACTTTGCATTATGTTTCGAAAAAGGATAGAAAGAATCTTCGTGATATAGGGAAGCAAAATTCAAGTCCTTTTGACTACCTTATAACCTTGTTTTAATGTATAGGTCGTTAATTTTTTGAAGTTTTTAATCAAGACTCATTAAATCTGTAGGCAATAAAACGAACCATATTCCGGATAAGTGTATGTGTTGGGGTCGCATAGGTCGGGTGTACCCTTTTGTGTTTTCCCTATGATGGATGTATTATAAAACTGGAAACAGGACATTTCTCCTGTGAAGTAGTCTTTGTTCTTATAGGATACTCCGAAGTGGATGTTCCCCGACAGTCGAAGATGATCCATCTCCGTGGTAATCTCAAATTTATCTGCTGAATTGTCTGGAGAAATAATATCAAACTCCGGAGCTGGCCACAACTTATTCCAGGTGATTCCCACGAGAGTCCATACCCCTGGAGGCGCCGTGGTGTCTGCACTCTTGAAATTTTTTTTCGTACATCCCAAAGGATCACATATATAAATACGAAGTTCTAGAGTGTCGTCTGACCTCAGTCTCAATTCCATTCCGGGATAAGTACCATCTCCTTCATAATGCATCAATACGGCTTTCTGTTGAAACGCTGGTTTTATATAAAATATCCAGGTGACTGCATGGAAACCATCCAAGGACCCGTCATTGAAAAACGTCATATAGGAGCTTTTTGCAGCGTCGAACTTGAGCGAAGCAAGGCCAACTTCCGGTCCCGGTGTTGTATATATAACTTCATGATAAACACCGTATAGATTTTTTAGGACCCCGTAATCTGTATTATTGTGTAGGTAATCAGTCACAGGCCAGATGGCCTGGGGTTCAGGTGGTCCAATAGATACATTGTTGTCAACTTTTCTTTCACCTTTAGGATCTGCGACGTCCAGAATTAACACTATAAATAATAAAAGAGTAAAAAAATTCCTCAAATAATACTCAAGTATTATGTTTTGTTAATCATTCGCTCTTGAAATACTCAAGTACTATGTTTTTTAGACTCAAGATTTCAGTTACTAGAAAAATGTGTCACTTGTTCCATGAACTCCCATGTGGTTTTATCTTCAACGCTTTGGTATCACGATCGAGTGAATGCCAGAAATTAATTGCACCTATAAAGACTACTATCATAATAGTATAAATCTTAAAAATCTTTAAATCAATACAAATTTGTGAGCAGGACAAAAAATAGGACCCCTGGAAATGTCAGAGGTGGGATCAGTTGCCTTGGAGAGTTAAGCATCCCCTTTGACATTTACACCCACTTTGAGCCCTATGTAATGATCAGGAGTAATCCTTAGTCAAAGGGGGAGTTTCGATAAGGCCGTTTTTCGGCCCCTCACGAAATTTTATGAAATTTTGATATTTTGTAGAAAAACTTCTAAACTTCCTAAAAATATGAAAATAATTTATGTTACGTATTTTCCGGTCACGTGATAATTGAAAATTTAAGTATACCCCCATTTCGTATATTTTGGGAGTAGACATTTTCATAGGGGGAAAGTGGATTTTTTAACCGTCAAAATCGTAAATGAAATAGGATAAATATGAATAAAGACATAAATTAACCAATCTCAACAATTTTTTACGGAAAATGGTGTTTATCTTATGCGAATGTTTTTTTTAAGATGCGATATTTTTCTGGTCTGTCAAATGTTACTTTTCTTTAAAAGAGGATGGATTTAACTTATGAAACGTAAACATATATAGAAAGATTTAACATCATAATTAATCGACAATTTATACATAAACTTTATAATCAATATTTAACATTTTCCCATATGAAAAATGCAAATGAAAAGATATGAAGACATGAGATAGGTGAATGTAAAAACGTCATATACAGGTATATACACTACATTTTTATCAATAAGGTTATACAACTACATGTTTTATAAAAATATACCTTAATATCATAAAATTGAAATTAAATAACATGTTTTGAAATAAAAAGATTAAAAAATAAATGCAATTTTATATACATACATGAATAAAAAGTTTACTTAAAAGCATCATATTGCTAGGTATGCCATTACATTGTAGGTGCAAGGTAAGAAAAATATTTTATCTGACGGCCGCCACATAACTATTCGGCGGCCGCTAGAAAAATATATTTGGCGGCGGCCAAATAGTTTTCCTGCGGCCACCACATAAATGACTGGCGGCGACCAGAAACTTATCTGTTGGCCGCAACATAAATAACTAGAATCCGACAAATAAGTTCCTTACGGTGTAGACATGTAATCTAATAAAACATAAATCTAAAGTTATGAGGTGAAGACCTTATGAAGTGAATTTTTGTATGAAGTGTAGATTTTATCTTTGCTAATAAGGCATGAAACTCCAAGATTTGACTTCAAAGAGAAGTTGTAGATGTCGTTAAGATGGCTGGGGGGTTGTGGCCATTTTCAGACTATATTGACCTCCTTCAGAAGAAGAGTTCCATATAAAGATATACAAAGATGATCAAATTTTAAAACAAAAATGTATGAAATTTTTCTTTGCCAAATAATAGTTGACAGCTTAAGATATCATATCTAAAAAATTAAGTTATATCTGATGGTTAATTTGTTGACCCCCCAGCCTCCTTAAAGGCAGAGATTTTAAGCACCGCCTTCAAAAATACCTGGTCTGTGTACCTCTGTCAATCAAGTGCATTGGTATATCATTGGGTGCTACAACTTGATTGGCAAAAACACTACAATATTATCTGGCGGCCGCCAGATTTTTCAATGGCAGAAACTTATCTGGCGGCCGACAGATAACATATTTTTTTACTTTGCACCTACTGGCTTCTGTATATTGCAATGTATTTGATAATATGAATGATATTGATTACAGTCAAAAATATTTTATCATGATACGTAATATGATGGAAAAATCTATAATGCATTAAATTTTTCTTCTCATTATGAAACTTATAAGTATTTGCCCACATAGATCTGCATTATGTTTTCAGCATAACTGAGAGAATCCCAGCCAGGACTTATTTCCTCTCGCTTCTCAAATCTCCATAGATACTTAAGTTTCTACACCATTTCTAGTCACTTCTCATTTAGGACTTCTAGAATTCATTATATATGATTTGCTAGAACAGAGCGCAGTTCGAAATACATGTGAAAACGCCAAAGATATGTGTTTAATCCGTAATCAAGCAGACATTCATATGCCCCTAGACATCCAGACTTAAAACAAGCCACGTTTCCTATATCAACCACACATAAATATATGGGCGCCTCTCTAGCATGTCGGAGCGTGGATTTCTATTTACAAGAAAGTCAAAAATATAACTATGCATGATAAATAACGTTAAGGAATGGACTTGCTCTAAAACTTATTTTTTGTTCAGTCAGTCGAAAAATGTAAGAAAGATGCAGCTTCTGAACTATGTCTGGTAATGTGCAATCCTAGATGCATCATCAATGCAAGTTTGGTCACGATGGGGCTTATAGTTATATAAAAATGAGACCCGCTTCAAATCTTTAACCTGCTCACTTATTAATGAAATGTAGGTCATATCCAGCATCTGAAGCAATATAGTAGTGTGCATCATAAAGCAAGTCTGGTCAAAAAGTGCTTTCAGCTGCTCTGCTCCAAAAACTTAAACCTGCTTTTAAAACATTTACTTGGACATTCTTTGGCTAAAAATCCAGCATCTGAAATCTGACTGGTGACAAGGAAACACGCTGGATCGGGTGACTCTGAATGATATAGGGCATAGATATACTTGAAAAAAAAATCTGCTTCAAAACCTTTTACCTGGAACACCGATACCGACGTTATTACGAAAGCTCCCCCAACTTCAAGGAGGTGAGCTAAAAATGTGACGTTAACGTTATACGTTGGCGACAAAAAAAAAACTGTCGAAATGAAGATAGGATACGATAATGTTTTCTACTGTTAATATAATCGAGAATCTTCTTTGATTAAAAAAAATGCTACTTTTGGCCGAGTATTTTAACACAGAGTCAGATCAAGAAACCAGGAGCTTCTAATTTTAGATATGTAAATTTTATGCAATTTTCATTTTTTTGGATATGAAGTGCACACGCGACACTCATCATATTTCAAGAAATTAGTGTTCAGAGTATATCTAATTACTGAAAAAAATTAGGTGAGTGTCCCTCATGCACTTCATATTCTAAACATCAATTTTTAAATGCCACCCTCTTATATTTTCCCATAAGCCTAATGTTAACGGATCTGAGGGTACATCTAAGTATGTATCAGCTACGGTGTGAATTCATCTCATATTAACCTTTGAAATGTAAATAACAAAAGTTAATATATTTTCTTGAATTCTAAACTAGTTTTGAAAAAATAAATTGAAATTTATTTTTATGAAAAAAAGTGGGCCGCTGAGCGACCTTATCGAAACTCCCCCTTTAGTGTCAGTCAAAATCTGACCCAATGTTAGGTTGTATTTGAAAACAAGCATATAACCATGGAGTTTTCGAAAAGCCGACTTTAAACGAGGTTGTTGAAATCTTTGTAACATCAAATTATTTGCCAGTAGCCTGTCTCGGTTTAAAAATTGTTTATAAAAAATAAGGAGTTATAAAAATATGGTTTGACATTGACCAGAAACCAAAAACACAGCAGTAAAGGGGGGAAAAAAAGAGAAACATCGCTGTCTTTTTTCTAAATTTTGTTTACAGTCGCCGATTGCTTTTCAGCTACACCAACAGGAGCTTTCTTGAGCCCATAGGGGAAAATGGTAATTTTAAAAAAATCATTTCTTGCACAACTTTACCACAAGGAAGTTTGTTTAATGGACAAGGGTAAAAAGAAGGACAGTCAATCCACTTTCTTTACTCTTTAAAAAATCAAAAGAAATTATAATTTGGCTTTTAAAACATAAAAGACAATACAAAACTCGAAATAGAATGCTTAAAAAAGTTGACAAAGCTATTTTACCGAAGAAACTGTGGATTGCGAGTGAGTCGTACATATAAAGATGTGTTTCTGTAATTTCTTTCTTTATTATGAGAAAAAAAATATTTTTAAAAGAAATCTTACCGAAGTTGTTAAAGTAAAATGTGTGCTTCTGTATATTTTTGCTTTTAAAATTTTTATCTTTAAAAAAGACTGTGTTTCGTATATTTTTTTTCTAGGTATACTACAATAATAGGGTTTAATTTCTTTTATCAAGTTCTGTTTAGATACATTTACAAAAATTTCAGTACAAACTCCACACATTATCAATTCGCAGAGACTTTCTTTTCACTAACTGTGCTATTTGTGGGTTTCTGTCATTAAAGCTCATTATCAAAATAGATACATATTTTTAAGCAATTCCTTCTGACTAATGAAAAGTGAAGCATTGGGAAGGGGGATTTCATGAAAGTCCCTTTGCTCGTCTTTAATGAATTTTTACCTTTAAACCTTTGAATCTCTGTAACTCACATTAACATATCAAAACTAGACAGAATGAATTCAACCGAAAATGTATATTTAAAGCAGGTACTGTATCATTTTAAAGGTTGTAATATATATTTATATTCTTGGGTTGGAGAAGGGCCATGCTTAATTAAAAATATTTTACTACATTTTGACTAAAAAATATGGATACAAATTAACTTACCAAACATAAGAAGAGAAAGCTCTCTCATTATAATACCATCTACTGGACTTACACTATAAGAGTGTTACAAAGTTCATCTCAAGAAGGAACAGCTCATTAATTGATTAATTAAACATACAAAAGAAAATTTACATAAGCAGTAACGTGGCACTACTTGTTTTGTTTTGAATTGACACTAAGGTTAAATCAATGATTTAAAAAAAAAAAACGCATTTAAGAACGGGTAATGCAAGTCATGCAGAGTGCTTATTAGCACTTGAGATGAAAAAGCATATTATTTTAAATTTTCCAGAAGACATTTCATCTTGTCCGGAATTTTTTAAAAAATAGTATTATAACAACATAGTCCAAAAAAAAAAATGATCGTATTATATTTTCCAAAAGTTCTAAACCTTACGTGAGCAATTTTTGTCTGTAGAGTTCTAAATAAACTCTCTCTCTCTCTCTATATATATATATATATAATCCACAGCTTGTTGGATATCTTCATTTAGGACATCACTGAAACATATTTCTCTTTCCATTTTAAACTTTTAAACTTTATGAAGCAAAAAAATTATCAAATAAATAAATGAAAAAAATAGTGAATGTGAATAAGAAATATAACAATAAATGGTGTGCGTGTGTGTGTTATTCAATATTGCAGAACTTTACGCTGCTCAAATTCCAAAAACTCTCTTAAAAAATCCCTTTTAGAATAGAGAAATGTAAAAAAAAAAATTTAATTAATCAAAGCACTGAAAGTACTGGGAAGTGCTAAGCTATTAAGATCAACGTATATGCCGTAACAGGACTGTTTAATCCTTCTGGTCACGTTAACTTGTTAAATACAAAGTTAAATTGCAAAACGTGTGAAAAAAGCATGTTCATCCTACTTTGAACCATATGAACCGTACATGTATATTACCTATAAATAATGTAATGTAAAAAAAAAAACAAAAAAACAAAAAAACTCACTCTTGTATTTCTGGATAGAAGCTGTTGGAATGATCTATCAAGTTAATTCATCAATTTTAATCAATTTCTATAAGGTAAATTCATCATTTTTAAATCATAAAATTTTGAAGGATTTATTGACACATAAAACATGTACAAAACCATTAAAAACAAGATGTATATAATCAGTACAACAGCCTTTATAAAAATAATTAAATTAAAAATATTTGTTCCACTAAATTGCATTTCATTTCAGCAATGTTTTTTAAAACAGAACATGGTGATCTAAATACTGTCAACTTCCAGCTATTCATTCAGCCATCAGTGAGAACATTTTTCTGCCAACTATACAAAAAGTGTATCTGCCTTTGATATATCACAGATAAATTTTAGGCTGGCAGCAGTCACTTTTAAATCCCCCCAGTTATGACATGGAGACTATGAGGCCATGATGGCTGATGAGGTTGCTAATCGTGAGGCAGACTGACTCTTAACGACTCCACCCCCCACCAGGCGGGCAGATCGCTCCTGGGTCATCTCCAGCTCCCTCCATCTACTCTCCTCCAATGCTCTCTGTAAACAGAAAAAAATTAAATAGTTATATTGAAAATATGTAAAGTCATGAAAGAGACATAACTGCTTTTATAAATTGTCTCTTGCATTGTTGAAATCACAATTATAAATAATAACATACACTTTGAATCTAAAACACTTCTAATCTGAGGGGGGGGGGGGGGGGATTGCAGCCAGACTTTTACAAATTTATGAATTTTGACTTTTTAAAGAAGTAAGGAATGGTTAGAATTGATGACTAATGAGAGGCAATGAATGGTTAGAAATGACTGATGAAAGTTGATGACTGATAAGAGTTGAAGACTGGTTAGAAGAAATAAGTGATGTGAGGTAATGACTGGTTACAAGTGATAACAGATGAAAGGTGGTGACTGATTAAATTTTTGACAGATGAGAGGCAATGGCTTATAAGAGGCAATAACTGATGAGAGGTGATGCCAGGTAAGAAGTTATATCTTATACGGTACCAATATTGATGCACCAGATGCACATTTCAACAAACTATGTCTCTTCAGTAATCCTCATGCCGAAACATTGGAAATCCGAAAAATTTTAATTAAAAAAAAAATTAAAGAGCTGTAAAAAGGGGTGCCAAAGACTGGAGCGAAATATGTCAAAGGATCAGAGCTATGAGATAACTGATTACAGGTGATGACTAAATAGAAGTGTTAACTGATTAAAGGTGATGACTGATTAGAAGTGATGACTGATGAAAGGTGATGACTGAATAAAAAAGATTACTGAATAGAAGTGATGATGGTTGAGAGGTGATGACTGGATAGAAAGGATAACTGGTGAGTGGTGATGACTGGTTAGAAGTGATGACTGAATAGAAGTGATGAATGATTAGAGGTGATGACTGAAAAGAAGTGATGACTGATGACAGGTGATGACTGGTTAGAAGTGATGATGGTTGAGAGGTGATGACTGGGTAGAACTGATGACTGATGAGAGATGATGACTGGATAGAAAAGATGACTGAATAGAAGTGATGACTGGTTTGAAGTGATGATGGTTGAGAGATGATGACAAGTTAGGAGTGATGACTGGTTAGAAGTGATGATGGATGAGAGTTTATGACTGGATAGAAGTAAAGACTGATAAGAGGTGGTGGCTGGATAAAAATGATGACTGATGTGAGGTGATGACTGGTTAGAGGTGATGACTGATGAGAGGTGATAACTGAATAGAAGTGATGATCAATTAGAGGTGATGACTAGATAGAAGTGATGACTGATGAGAGGTGATGACTGAATAGAAGTGATGACTGATTAGAGGTGATGACTGGTTAGAAGTGATGCCTGATGAGACTTGATGACTGGTTAGAGGTGATGACTGATGAGAGGTGATGACTGGTTAGAAGTGATAACTGATTAGAGGTGATGACTGGTTAGTGGCGATGACTGATTGATGAGAGGTGATGACTGAAGTAATGATTAGTAGCAGTGACTGGTTAGGAGGAGATGACTAATCATAACTGAATAGAAGTGATGACTGATGAGAGGTGATGACTGGTAAGAAGTGATGACTGATGAGAGGTGATGACTGGTTAGAAGTGATGACTGGTTAGAGGTGATGACTGAAAAGAAGTGATGATTGATTAGTAGTAATGACTGGTTAGGAAGAGATGACTAATCATGACTGAATAGAAGTGATGACTGATGAGAGGTAATGACTGGATAGAAGTGATGACTGATTAGAGGTGATGAATGGTTAGAGGTAATGATTGATTAGAGGTGATGACTGAATAGAAGTGATCACTGATTAGTAGTAATGACTGGTTAGGAAGAGATGATTGATTAGAGGTGATGAATGATTAGAGGTGATGACTGATTCAGAGGTGTTAATTGATGAGAGTTATGATATTATGATGATTTGTTAGATTTCTGATTTCTTAAAAGCAACAAAAAAAATAATGACTAATGAGAAAATGGAAGTGAAGAAAAGTGTTTGATAATGAGTTTAAGAGACCTTCTATTGACGTGGGTGAATTAAGGTTAGACTAACTGAAGCAAAGACCAAAGAGGACTAATTAAAAATAAGTTCGCTATAGCATAAATACAGGCTCTGGTTGTGTAAATAAAAAGGTCTGTATTTGCATGTGTAAACAAAATTCTTTCTCATTAAGCAGGTCATGTCTACTAATAATTAATAGCATTCATCTTTGCTCTTCATTATTTCTATTATTTTTCAGAACTAAAGCCCATATTGTAAAGTTTTATGATAAACAAATAACTTATTCAAACAAAGCAAAACAAATATAGATCTGAACTTGAATAACTGAATACTTTCAAGGAGACACCTTTTGAGGAATTTGTTTAATGTGTAAATATGAACACAGTTGAATCATTGATCAAAAAAATAAAAATTTTATTTGTTAATTACATAATTTGTCTCAGACCAAACAAAAAAGGTGCTGCTACATGTGTTCTACTTTTATTTCAGAACCATGTTTAAACTTTATCCATTTTAATTTTTTTCTGTACTCTTCAAGCTACTTTTTAAAATGGCTGTCTCAATTGGGAAACAAGAGGCCCAAGGGCCACATCGCTCACCTGAGCACATTGGCTAGGCAAAAGCACAAATCAGTTCAGTATTGAAAAGATTACCCGGGGGGGGGGGGGGGGGGGGGGGGGGGGGGGGGGTTTACTTGAGAAGATTTTAAAAAAATTTCCCCATATATTCCTTTGTAAAAATTTGATCCCCCATTGTGGTTCCTCCCTATCCCAGGGGTCATCATTTGAACTTGAATCTACACTACCTGAGGATGCTTCCATATCAATATGACTAAACATAGCTTTCCTGTTCTTGAGAAGAAATATTTTTTCTATATGTTCTTATGTAAACTTTCAATCCCCCAATGGGCCCCACCCAACCCCTGGGGGTCATCATTTGAACAAAATTTTATCTACACTACCTGAGGATGCTTCCATATCAAAATGACTAATCATGGTTTGTAGTTCTTCAGAAGAAGATATTTTCCTATATATTTCTATTTAAGACTTTGTGGCCCCATCCTACCCATGGGGGTCATGATTTGAACAAAATAGAATCTACACTACCTGAGGATGCTTCCACATAAATATGATCAATCAGGGCTTTGCTGTTCCTAAGAAGATTTTAAAAATTTTTCCTATACATTTCTATGTAAAACTTTGATCCTCCATTGTGGCCCCATCCTACCCCCGGGGGTCATGATCTGAATAAATTTGAATCTACCCTACCTGAGGATGCTTCCATATAAATATGAACAATCTGGGCTTTGCTGTTCCTGAGAAGAAGATTTTTCCTATATATTTCTATATAAAACTTTGATCCTCCATTGTGGCCACGCCTTACCCCAGGGGGTCATGATTTGAACAAACTTGAATCTACACTACCTGAAGATGCTTGCATATAAATGTGACTCATCATGACTTTGCTGTTCTTGAGAAGAAGATTTTTAAAGATTTTTCCTATACATTTCTATGTAAAACTTTGATCCTCCATTGTGGCCCCATCCTACCCACGGGGGTCATGATTTGAACAAAATAGAATCTACACTACCTGAGGATGCTTCCATATAAATATGACTTATCGTGGCTTTGCTGTTCTTGAGAAGAAGATTTTTAAAGATTTTTCCTATATATTTCTATGTAAAACTTTGATCCTCCATTGTGGCCCCGCCCTACCCCCGGGGGTCATGATTTGAACAAACTAGAATCTACACTACCTGAGGATGCTTCCATATCAATATGACTCATCATGACTTTGTTGTTCCTGAGAAGAAGATTTTTAAAGATTTTTCCTATATATTTCTATGTAAAACTTTGATCCTCCATTGTGGCCACGCCCTACCCCCGGGGGTCATGGTTTGAACAAAATAGAATCTACACTACCTGAGGATGCTTCCATATATATACGACTCATTGTGGCTTTGCTGTTCTTGAGAAGAAAATTTTTAAAGATTTTTCCTATATATTTCTATGTAAAACTTTGATCCTCCATTGTGGCCCCGCCCTACCCCCGGGGGTCATGGTTTGAACAAATTTGAATCTACGCTACCTGAGGATGCTTCCATATAAATATGACTCATCATGGCTTTGCTGTTCTTGAGAAGAAGATTTTTAAAGGTTTTTCCTATATATTTCTATGTAAAATTTTGATCCTCCATTGTGGCCCCGCCCTACCCCCGGGGGTCATGATTTGAACAAACTTGAATGTACACTACCTGGAGATGCTTCCACATGAGTTCATCTTTCCTGGCCCTATGGTTCTTGAGAAGAAGATTTTTAAATGATGCATTTATTTTTTCACTAATTCTTAATTATCTCCCCTTGAAAGAGGGCATGGCCCTTCATTTGAACAAACTTGAATCCCCTCCACCCAAGGATACTTTGTGGCAAGTTTGGTTGAAATTGGCCCAGTGGTTCTGGAGAAGAAGATGAAAATGTGAAAAGTTTACAACGACGACGCCAACGCCAACGACAGACAACAGACAAATTTTGATCAGAAAAGTTCACTTGAGCCTTTGGCTCAGGTGAGCTAAAAACACAAAAATGGTAACTTTTTGAGCAAAAAAAAAAATAATGGTATTTTTGGAAATGGTGGAGAAACATTGAAAGATATGAAAAAACTAATTTGTCTATTATCAATCAAGAAAAATTTTCCAAAGAATAATTCAAGATTTAATCCCAAATAAATCTGTAATGCTAATGAATGAGCTGCTTATAGCTTTATTAAATAATATATATATACACCTTCTTAGTCTCCTAAGATACTTTACACCTGTCTGTGTCACTCTCTAAATGAAGAACGAATATATAGCAAGTTGTGTCACCAGTTTACATTGAGCTAATATTTTGAGCTGAAAAAAATGGGGTGGGGTGAAATCTTAAAGTTTGGCAGGAGTCAGTATCAACAAGAATTAACTCTTTTATATATACAGTACTGTAAAACATGCTTTTAGCGAAGGTGCTTGTAATGAATTGATGCTTACAGCGAAGTGATTTTCTTTCCTTGTGGCTTTAAAATACATTGTGAACTTTACAGATATAAAAAACGATTTTAAGATGATCAAAGTAAAATCATCCGTCTTTGGTACTTCATTATAAGCATGTTTTACCATGTGTGTTTGTATGTGTGTCTATGTATATACACTGTTCACAGGGTTATTTTCACCCTGTGTTATTTTCATCCTTTCACACAACCAATTTTGCTCTGTTTTAATTTTGCCCAGTCACATTTCTGTTGTAGAAATTATACTGGTGTTTTTGGAATTTGCCCCGTTTTAAATTTGCCCACCTTTGAGTAGGGTGAAAGGGGCAAAAATAAAATGGGGGTGAAATTTTCCCTGGATACAGTATATATGAATGCTATACAAATTGCTCCTAAAACAAGATGCCCCAAAGACAGGGGGAGGGGGGACAGGTTGTATTGGGAGCGAATTGTCCTAATTCCAAATATATACACTGAATATATATAAACACAAAACTAATAATGAGCAACGACAGGAAGAATAAAAATTGTCAAATTTTCAGGATGCCGTCCCTTCCTAATAGGGCTGGGATGATACATCGAGATATCTATAATATCAATTATGTGTGAAGACAATACGCATATTGATACGTATGAAGAAAAATAGAAATATCGCAAAAAATATTCTGACTTACGTTTTTCTTTGTTTACTTAACATTTTGAGTTTAATATATAAATTAAATATGCTAAATATGAATACAGATATAAAATACATAATAATTAACTCTACTTGTGTAAAATAATTTTGTTTTAAAACAAATATACAACTTCTACCAATGAATCATTCATATTTTTGAGGAAATGTTTTGTTCATTTCAACACAAAAACAGGTTTTATAACCAATTCAACATATCGTGATACACATTGTATCGTGGCTCAAATATCATGTTTACTGTTCGTTATCTTCTCATTTCATTATACATGTAACACTGTAATACCTTCTGATTGATCAGACTCCTTGTCTGGTTCAGGGACTGTTTGCTGGGTACCAGTTTAGATTTTTCCTGTTCTTTCTTTCTTTGAGCTTTCCTTTCTTCGAGTTTCTTCTCCAACTCCTGGAGTTTGGGGTCCTTGATTTCTGGCTTCTTAGGAATCAGGCCTTTCTTCTTGCATTCAAATCTAAAACCAAAAAAGGTGTATGAATCTATAGGAGATTAGATTTAAGTCTACCTCAGACAGCAGCAGACTTGGTCTGTTCTAGTTGTTGTTTAGATATTGTTTTAATGTCTCTGTTTTACTTACCTGACAGCAGCAAACTTGGTCTGTTTTTTGTCGGTGTTTAGATATTGTTTTTAATGTCTCTGCTTTACTTACCTGACAGCAGACTTGGTCTGTTCTAGTCGGTGTTTAGATATTGTTTTAATGTCTCTGTTTTACTTACCTGACAGCAGCAAACTTGGTCTGTTTTTTGTCGATGTTTAGATATTGTTTTTAATGTCTCTGCTTTACTTACCTGACAGCAGACTTGGTCTGTTCTAGTCGGTGTTTAGATATTGTTTTTAATGTCTCTGTTTTACTTACCTGACAACAGCAGACTTGGTCTGTTCTAGTCGATGTTTAGATATTGTTTTAATGTCTCTGTTTTACTTACCTGACAGCAGCAGACTTGGTCTGTTCTAGTTGATGTTTAGATATTGTTTTAATGTCTCTGTTTTACTTACCTGACAGCAGACTTGGTCTGTTCTAGTCGGTGTTTAGATATTGTTTTTAATGTCTCTTTTTTACTTACCTGACAGCAGACTTGGTCGGTTCTAGTTGATGTTTAGATATTGTTTTTAATGTCTCTGTTTTACTTACCTGACAACAACAGACTTGGTCTGTTCTAGTTGATGTTTAGATATTGTTTTAATGTCTCTGTTTTACTTACCTGACAACAGCAGACTGGGTCTGTTCTAGTTGATGTTTAGATATTGTTTTTAATGTCTCTGTTTTATTTACCTGACAACAGCAGACTTGGTCTGTTCTAGTCGATGTTTAGATATTGTTTTTAATGTCTCTGTTTTACTTACCTGACAGCAGCAGACTTGGCCTGTTCAAGTCGGTGTTTAGATATTGTTTTTAATGTCTCTGTTTTACTTACCTGACAACAGCAAACTTGGTCTGTTCCAGTTGGTGTTTAAATATTGTTTTCTAAAGTCTCTGTTTTACTTACCGACAGCAGCAGACTTGGTCTGTTCTAGTCGATGTTTAGATATTGTTTTAATGTCTTGATCTGTTTTACTTACCGACAGCAGCAGACTTGGCCTGTTCTAGTCGATGTTTAGATATTGTTTTAATGTCTTGATCTGTTTTACTTACCTGACAGCAGCAGACTTGGTCTGTTCTAGTCGATGTTTAGATATTGTTTTTATTGTCTCTGCTTTACTTACCTGGAGCAGACTGGGTCTGTTCTAGTTGATGTTTAGATATTGTTTTTAATGTCTCTGCTTTACTTACCTGACAACAGCAGACTTGGTCGGTTCTTGTCGATGTTTAGATATTGTTTTTAATGTCTCTGTTTTATTTACCTGACAGCAGCAGACTTGGTCTGTTCTAGTTGATGTTTAGATATTGTTTTTAATGTCTCTCCTTTACTTACCTGACAGCAGACTTGTTCTGTTCTAGTCGGTGTTTAGATATTGTTTTTAATGTCTCTGTTTTACTTACCTGACAGCAGACTTGGTCGGTTCTAGTCGATGTTTAGATATTGTTTTTAATGTCTCTGCTTTACTTACCTGACAGCAGACTTGGTCTGTTCTAGTCGATGTTTAGATATTGTTTTAATGTCTTGATCTGTTTTACTTACCTGACAGCAGCAGACTTGGTCTGTTCTAGTTGATGTTTAGATATTGTTTTTAATGTCTCTGCTTTACTTACCTGACAGCAGACTTGGTCTGTTCTAGTTGATGTTTAGATATTGTTTTTAATGTCTCTTTTTTACTTACCTGACAGCAGACTTGGTCTGTTCTAGTTGATGTTTAGATATTGTTTTTAATGTCTCTGTTTTACTTACCTGACAGCAGACTTGGTCTGTTCTAGTCGGTTTTTTAGATATTGTTTTTAATGTCTCTGTTTTACTTACCTGACAGCAGCAGACTTGGTCTGTTCTAGTTGATGTTTAGATATTGTTTTTAATGTCTCTGTTTTACTTACCTGACAACAGCAGACTTGGTCGGTTCTTGTCGATGTTTAGATATTGTTTTTAATGTCTCTGTTTTACTTACCTGACAGCAGTAGACTTGGTCTGTTCTAGTCGGTGTTTAGATATTGTTTTAATGTCTCTGTTTTACTTACCTGACAGCAGACTTGGTCTGTTCTAGTCGGTGTTTAGATATTGTTTTAATGTCTTGATCTGTTTTACTTACCTGACAGCAGCAGACTTGGTCTGTTCTAGTTGGTGTTTAGATATTGTTTTTATTGTCTCTGTTTTATTTACCTGACAGCAGCAGACTTGGTCTGTTCTAGTTGGTGTTTAGATATTGTTTTTATTGTCTCTGTTTTACTTACCTGACAGCAGCAGACTTGGTCTGTTCTAGTCGGTGTTTAGATATTGTTTTTATTGTCTCTGTTTTATTTACCTGACAGCAGCAGACTTGGTCTGTTCTAGTTGGTGTTTAGATATTGTTTTTATTGTCTCTGTTTTATTTACCTGACAGCAGCAGACTTGGTCTGTTCTAGTCGGTGTTTAGATATTGTTTTTATTGTCTCTGTTTTATTTACCTGACAGCAGCAGACTTGGTCTGTTCTAGTCGGTGTTTAGATATTGTTTTTAATGTCTCTGTTTTACTTACCTGACAGCAGCAGACTTGGTCTGTTCTAGTCGGTGTTTAGATATTGTTTTTATTGTCTCTGTTTTATTTACCTGACAGCAGCAGACTTGGTCTGTTCTAGTCGGTGTTTAGATATTGTTTTTATTGTCTCTGTTTTACTTACCTGACAGCAGCAGACTTGGTCTGTTCTAGTCGATGTTTAGATATTGTTTTTAATGTCTCTGTTTTACTTACCTGACAGCAGCAGACTTGGTCTGTTCTAGTCGGTGTTTAGATATTGTTTTTATTGTCTCTGTTTTATTTACCTGACAGCAGCAGACTTGGTCTGTTCTAGTCGGTGTTTAGATATTGTTTTTATTGTCTCTGTTTTACTTACCTGACAGCAGACTTGGTCTGTTCTAGTCGATGTTTAGATATTGTTTTTATTGTCTCTGTTTTACTTACCTGACAGCAGCAGACTTGGTCTGTTCTAGTCGGTGTTTAGATATTGTTTCTAATGTCTCCAATAACATCTGATCCTTTTCCTGAAAAGAGTTTTCAATAACATATTAACCCTTAACTATTACCTACAATGTAACACATGTTTGTTACAACTAAGTGATACATCGTCATTTGATGAATAAAGCAATCCCCTTGTGTTCCAGGCCACTCAAAAATTGTAAATCTAGAAAATTGTCTTCTAGGAACTACCTGATTAGCTTCGTATTTAATGTTAAGTATATATAATTTAATTTTGGTATATTTGGTATTTTGGAATATTTGTAACGCATCATTTGATTGGATAAAAAAAAATTAGAATAAATCGTATAACCTGGGTTGCCTACGTCACAATGACTTACTTCAAAAACGTATCAATCCGCTTGACGTTACATTTAAAATACGTACAATTTGAAGGCATTTTCGAAGGAGAAATTCTCTTAATTTTTACACTTAATGATGGAAAATTAAATAATAAGGAATGAATTTAATAGCTGCCCAAATTATACTGGTATAACCTGGGTTGGAACAGTTTACGCTTTTTTATAAACCGCTTCGCGGTTTATAAAGCGTAAACTGCCCCAACCCAGGTTATACCAGTATAACTTGGGTAGCTATTAAATTCATTCCTTAAATATACATATATATATGTAGAGGAGTTTACCTGTTTGGCTGTCAGTATTTAATGTTTAGTATATATGTAGAGGAGTTTACCTGTTTGGCTGTCAGTATTTAATGTTTAGTATATATGTAGCGGGGTTTACCTGTTTGGCTGTCAGTATTTAATGTTTAGTATATATATAGAGGAGTTTACCTGTTTGGCTGTCAGTATTTAATGTTTAGTATATATGTAGAGGAGTTTACCTGTTTGGCTGTCAGTATTTAATGTTTAGTATATATATAGAGGAGTTTACCTGTTTGGCTGTCAGTATTTAATGTTTAGTATATATGTAGAGGAGTTTACCTGTTTGGCTGTCAGTATTTAATGTTTAGTATATATGTAGAGGAGTTTACCTGTTTGGCTGTCAGAATTTCATCTCTCCTCTGTTCCTCTGTTTCTTTTTCTGCTGTCTTCAGTAAAGCTACCCTTTCTCTCAGCTACAATGAAAGCTTAAAGCTTAAAGCAAGGGTAAAATACTTAAAGAATAAGTGGTTGGGACTTCCAAATCACTTTGACATATCCATGGTATTCCAGATATCAGTGTTTGAGATACCGAAGTTCAACTGTAAATGTTTTTGTTGCACTTATGCTTTTACATGTTAGTTCTTCTCAATATCAATAAGATGAGATGAAAAATGAAACATCTGAAACTGAACTGAAAAGTGTGTAAAAGGTACAGAGAGAATTCAAATCTTGATCATCCAGATCTTCAGGTCAACATGCAAATTAATCTCCATACTGCTGCTGATGCATATGGAAATAACCAACTGTATGTAAAATTAAAAAGGTATAACCCCCATCTCTTCTTATGCTTATGGAAATAACCAATTGTATGGTAACCCCACCTCTCAAAAAATCATAACTACATGTAATGTTTAAGATATCTTGTTGACAGCTAGCAGTGGTAAAAAGTCAAATGATTGGATCTGCAACAAAACATCCTTTCAGCTTTTTTGTGCTTGTATTAGACAGAGCTATATATTATAGTCCTACATGAAGTCTGCATATTATCCAAAGTTATTGTACCCCATGTAGAAATGTACCTCTTACTAGAGTATTATACTGTTAAACATGTTAAAACAGACATCTGCCAAGCGATTCATGGTCCTGAACCACTCACCTCAGCAATGGACATTTCACTCAGAAGACCATGACCAGATGTGGCCGTCAGATCCACGAATTTCTGTCGGATAATCGGCACGGCTTCCATTGCTCTGATCTGATGGATGAGCTCCATTCGTCGTCTCATTTCCTCCTCGGCCTAAAACCGAGATAGCATTTGATTAAAACACAGTGGCTTAAAAAAATAGTCGTAAATTTCATCAAGCAAAAGAATAAAAATAGTTTACCAAGAAATTATGCATACAAAAGTGAATATGATTAATGTAAAATGAAATTGTAAGCATATTTTTAGATAACTTGCAGACATTGCACTATATGTATAATGCATATTTTCATCAATATTCACTAGTATTACTGAGTATCATAATTGTATTTGTTCAAGACAATTAACTAGAGACTTTTATCAAAATAAAAGACTGAAAAATCTTAAAGCAAAACTAGCCTACCTCTTCTAATGCTTGTTTCATCAACTCTTTACTTTCTTCATTGACTTCTTGAACTAAAAAATGCATTAAAATGATCATAATGTGGGCCCCATTTCTGAACTATGAATAGATAAATTATAGAAATGCAAAGAATTTCATATATTTAAGTTTCAAAATATCTCTGATTTTTTTTCTTTTTTTTTTTAACAGAATGTTCAAATTTTCAAGTTATATTCCAGTAATTTCTTTAAATTAAATTTGTGCTTTAGCAGACTCTTGATATTAAATTATTTTTAAAGAATGAAGCTTCATAAGCTATGAATTTTTATAATAATATTGATGGAAATGACCCTGACCTATTAAATTATTTTTAAAGAATAAAGCTTTATAAGCTATGAATGTTTATAATGCCATTGATGGAAATGACCCTGACCTATTTTCCGTTTATATTCCTGTAGTTTTTTAGTGGCCTCCTTTGCATTCTTGTGTCCCTGCATTGTGTCCTCCACTAATTGCCTAAAATATCCAATTTTATTTCTCAAGTTGTTTGTTGAAATTTTAATTGTATGGTAATTTCAACATGTAAAAATTAAATTTGAATTCCAATGAAAATCTTCAGGTTAAGAAGCAGGAATTCATACCGCACTTCTTTTTCTTCACTGAATTTCTTTTGCAAATACTCTTGCATCATTTTCTTTGTCTGAAAAGGAAATCATAACAATACAAAATATGAAAATAAAATACATGAATTGCTTTTAAAGGAATTTTTTTGGAAATCATTAATACTTTACAAGATATTTTTTCAGCAAGATTATAATAAACATTTATTTACAAAACTTTAATTTTTCACATTCCTTAATTCTTGGAGTTGAGATACCCTCATAAATCTTCCATACTGTAAACCAACTTTTATTTGTGGACAAAAAATGTCCACAAGTTTCACGACCTTGTTTTATTCTCCAATGATTTTCACCACCTACCATTTATTCAGTTTATCATTAAAGCAGAAAAATTTCCAATTCAAAAAAATTAATAGTCACTGATTAATTTCAAACTGATAAATCGTTTATAAAAGTTCTTGTGAGTAAAAGTTGTTTTACGGGGTGAATAAAACCTGATTTGCAGTATATTCCAGCTAATTTGACATATTTCATAAATTATATGCAATATATTACAATTTTTTTCAGCAATAATCTTGACATATCACTGAACATAAACAATTTTTTTTCCAGAAAATTGACTCTTTAACATGTGTAAAGATGATCTACCTCTTCCTTCATATTTCTGACTTTCTGTTTATTTTCCAGAATGAGATCCTGCCTAGCCAATATGGCTTCCTCGTGACTGAGCTTGCCTTGTAATCGCCTACGCTCTATCTCAGCAAGTTCCTCCTCCAAATCTTTCTGTCGCATTTCTGACTGCCATTTTAGAAAATCGCTGGCATCCTTGGCTCCAGCTTCTAGGTTTTCCCATCTGTTAAAAAAATACCGTTAGAATAAAAATGGAATTTTATCAACTCTGGGAATCCAGCAAGTAAATACAGGTAGATATACGTTTTGATATTTTGAGTCACTGATGGCCACTTACTTTCTGATTTCTTCAGCTTCTTTCTTTCTGTATAAATTTCCCTCACGTAAAATAGTGGCTGTTGTCATTTTGATCGGAACTTCTCGACTCTAGAAAAAGTTGTTAAATTATCAATGTCTAGAATACCTACAGGCTCATATTTTTATTTGATAACATAGTGTTCAAGTTAGTTTAAGTTAGTGTTCATATAAAAATTTGTTAATTATTTGTTAATTATTTCAATCTTCATTTCCAGTAATGTGTTGAACTGTGACACAATTTATATAGGTAAAAGCTTTTGTCAAATCTTACAATTCCTTTTTTACAAAATAACAATATTATGTCCCAATAAAATAACAATGCCCCAATAAAAAAAAACACAACAAGCATATTCCACACTTATTTGGCATGCCTTCACAAAATCACTTCAACTTTTCCATTCACAATGAACTTGTTAATAACTACCTGCTTCATATTTGTTGTGTTTTCACACATGAATTTTTTTTTTTTTTTTTGTACAAGTAAACACAATTACTAGCATTAGAAACAAAGAAAAGATTGATAACAGATTTACTTATACATGTACTAGATCTTCTTCTTTTCATTTATTGTATCAGTTATTTATGCATGCATATTTATGGATTTCCATGCAGTGTTCTATCAAAAATATTATAGTCTATAAAATTTCATAAAAGGTCTTAAAAATGATAAATATTTATAATATGATAAATATCATAGTTAATCAAATTTCATTAATGGTCTTAAAAATGATAAATATTTTATGTTTCTCATTTAAGAGATTCACCATTTGGAATAACCACCCCAGACTTCAATATTGAGTATTCATGCAGACAGGATACTGAGTGCATGCATTTACATCACACAATGCATGTAACCTTGCCATGCAGTCAACCTCACATCATGCATGCATTTATATCACACAGTGCATGTAACTTTGATTCTCCATGCAGCAGACTTACGTAAAGTTGACTTCTCTCCTTGGCCGTCAGTCTCCGCACGGAAGACCGACTTGATGAAGCTGACGACTACATTGAATAGTCACAAATTGTAACATTTTTAATACATGCCTACTTCTTAATTTTCTCTGTCCAAATCTTCATGAATTATTTTATTTCACGTGCAGTCAAAAAATTTGTGATATTAAAATAGCCACTCACCAACTTTTATTTTATGGTTAAATTCTATTTTTAAGGTTAGTAAACAAACAAACATATTTCATACTATGTCACTAAATATCAGAACTACCAGTAATTGATGATTCACCATCAGAGTGACAGTCAGTATATGGATGTCACAAAAATAATTAATTCAGATGAAACTCCATTATACAGGAATTTCATATAAACACAGATCATGTAAAACATCAGCATATACTGTTACTTTTAAATTTAGTATTTTATATTGAAATATGATGTCTTTAAATTTCTTGATTTAGTGTAAAACAATACTATCGTGATTGGTCTACAACTAGATAATACATACTTTTTAAAGTATACCCAGGCTGTTAATCTAAGAAAAAATTTCTAACAAATTTCTGTTAATTCATTATCCAACTATATGTATTTAGACTTCGGGTCACTCACTGAATTTAAATACATTTTGTACTACTCATTATGGCTAAATTGACGTGAACTTTACCAGAATGGCTCTATACTGCTAAAAATGTTAATTAGTATGCAATACAAAAAAGTAATTTTTATAACATTTAAAAATTACAATTGTTTCAAAGTAACAAAAGTGAGTACTGTGTAGGACTGATTCTTATGACAAAAACTGCAGTTTACGGAAAATACATATAAATGTATGCCTATGTGCAGCTGTTTATGAAAAATTTTAAATATGAATCACAATAAATCATATTAAAAAAAACTTGTTACATTCATCTCTAAAATGCTATTGGCCTTTCAATTCCAATCTCCTTTGGATCCACCCTAAAAAAAACCTTAATCCCCTTTATACACCGGATTTTGTTCACTTCATCATACATTTTACTCATACCAATTTCAAATGTAATGGGAGAGATCATATGACACATTGTACAATATTTACATTCCAAATATTTTTCCTTAAGATTCTTTGCAAATTAGAAGAAGTTCATGTTCTCATGAACTACCATGGGATGAGTAAGAATATTTCTATTCTGATGTGATTGAAGTCAAAAAAATTGGGCAAACTTTTTTTTTCAAAAATGATCGTTGAATGACAAAAAAATATGTGGCAAGTCATCAGAAAAAAAATTATGTAAATATAAGAGATGAATTTAATTTTTGAGAATTCATGAGGTACATGAACTACAACGCTCATGCCTGCATATTTATCATGAAGCACTAACGCACTTCATGAAATATGCCGGAGTGAAGTGCAATAGTTCATGTCCTCATGAATTCTCAAAAATTAAATTCATCTCTTAAATTAAGTCATTATTAATTTACTCAAGAGACACTGAGCCATAAGACCGACCTTTCAATGTGTGTGAGACTTACCAGGAATGAGGGTGGACGATTGGCCCTGTGTTTCTCAAACTCTAGTTTGGCTTCCTCCTCGCTGATGATATTGTTTAAAATTTCCTTGGTTTTCTGGGATTTTTCAGGGTTGGCACAGGCGAATTGGATTCTGGAGGCCTCCATAAGTCTCTCCTACAAAGTGTACTTCATCAAGCCATTTGACAAACCAGTCTGAATTCTTACAGCATCAATTCAATTCTATAAGCATATACTTTAATTAAAAGCAAAATTAACATTCATTTCCAATTTTTTTCAAAGCTGTTACTTCCACACAACTTTTATTTTTTTTCATGAAGGTATTCTATTCCTCTGATTTAAATCCAACAAGAGGCCTTTGGGCCACAATGCTCACCTCAGTCACTATGGCCCTGCTATTCTTCATTATCAGATTTTTTGGTAAAAATTACCCCTCTTTGACTTTTTAAGAATTTTGACTCCATATTGTGGACCAACATCATCCTAAGGGGGCTTTGATTTATTTAAAAATGAATCCATACAACATTGGGATGCCTCAGTATGATAAACATGGCCCTGCCGCTCAGTAAAAGATCTTTTCCATATATACAGGTATTATGTAGATTTTGGATCAGTCTCTGATTTTAGCCTAACTCTACCCCCCCCCCCCCCCCAAAAAAAAAAAAAAACAATTTCATAACTAGAAAAAATGAAACCACACAACTTCAGAATGTTTTGCTTATTAAAATGATTTAGCATGGCCTTAAAACTACTGAAAAGCTTTCTTCCTATATATCAACTTGTAAAACTCTGATCCCCTATTGAAGTCTCAATCTATACCTAGGGTGCCCTGATCTGAACAAACCTGAATCTAAACTATTTGAAGATGTTTGCATATCAGTATGAATAATAATGTTTTTTTTTTTTGGTTTATTATAGGAAGATTTTTTCCCCATGTGAAAATTTGACCTTCGATTGTGGCCCCACCCTACCTCAGGGGTCATGATTTGAACAAACTTGAATCTACACTACCTGAGAATGCTTCCTTATCAATATGACTAATTATGACTTTCCTGTTCTTGAGACGAAGATTTTTTTAAAAAAAATTTTCCTGTATAAGGTACATGTATACCTATTTAAACTTTTATCTCCTTAAGTAGCCTCACCCCCTACCCCACGGGTCATGATTTGAACAAACTTAAAACTGCTCTACATCAGTTAGATTACAAACAAGTTTCATCTTTTCTGGCCCAGTGGTCTTCAGAAGAAAACTTTTAAAAGATGCCACTAAATTTTCATTTATCCATAATTACCTCCCCTTGAAAGAGGGCCTTAATTTGAACAAACTTGAATCCCCTTTAATTACCCATGAAGGCTTTGTGGCAAGTTTGGTAGAAACTGTTTAAGTGGTTCTGGAGAAGATGAAATTGTGAAAAATTTATGACAGTGTTAACAACAATGACAGACAATGAACAATTAAATTTTGATCAGAAAAACTCAGGTAATCCAGAGGCTCAGGTAAGCTTCGAATCAATATCCTATAACTGCTCCATAATTTCCTGATATTTTGTTCAAAACCAGTCACATGACAAACCTCTGCTATTCTTCTGTTAGATTCCTTGGATTTCTTGATTTTATCGAATTCCCTGGGTTCTGAGTACAGTGTTTTAGGTGCAGGCTTGTGTTTGGCCAGTTTGGGTATCTACAGAGAAATAAATTCAGCATATTAATTTTTATCTGAACAGATTCTACCGGTAATTCAGTCCCTCTAATAATTTTGTGTCAACAGAAGATTTACATGCACTTTGAGAAGTAGATATGCCTTCAATTTCATTTAAACTTTGTTATTTCAAACAAGCACATGTATGTTAAAATGCTAAATAAAATGATACTTAAAAGTACTATGCAGTTTGTATTTGTAATCTGAGTATCCTCTTTGATACCTCAAATTTTTTTATACCACAAAATATTTTTTCGGAGCACTGTTTCAGGTTTCCCAGTGTGCTATACAGTGAAACTTGTCTAGTATGAACAGGGATATAGTGGATTTACAGATAAAGCAATTTTTTTTTATCCCTGGCAAAATTCGTAACAATTTCTTGTAAAATTTTATGGTTATAATGAACTCCGATTTAAAGAATTTATGGATATAAAGAAGTGAATATGTTCTCTTAAAATAATAAATAACAAAATTTAAAATTTGAAATTCAATTTATCAGAAATTTTCAGTATTGCAAGGTAAGTTTTGTATTTAATATTCCCTGAACATATTTGATACCAGTCATACTTGATGGAAAATATGTATATTGTGAATTCACTATATGTACCTTAACGAAATCATTACATGGATATAGCCAAGTAAAATCACAGGTCCTTAGGACTTCATTATAACCAAGTTTTACTGTAATTAGGTAGCACCTTACTGAATATTCTCATTATTGTAAGAAAACTACATAAAGAACTGCGAACGATAGTATTGTTCTCCCGCCTACCTCCAAGTCAATTTTCAGAAGTTATTAACACATTTGAATAATTTTTCATATCTCTATAGAGATATTTATATGAATTCTCATAAAACATTACTTCTTTGGGAAAACAAAGAGAGATAACTCTATAATTTTGGTAAAACTTGTGTTTTTCACTATAGAAATCAATGGAAACAGAAAATATTTTTAAAAGATCCCCCCCCCCCAATTCCTTTTTACAGGTAATATGGACTGTCATTTTACAAATTCATACCAACGCTTTTTGTGTTTCACGGGGGGGGGGGGGGGGGAGAACATATGTTTACAGACAAAAAAACTACAAGAAATGCTTATTTTTTTCACCAATTTCACGGGTTTACAACTAAAACATTGTATTTTATTAATAATATATGTTTAATTTTATATGCGTAAAACATGAGAAAAGTTTTAAGGAACATTTATTCATATTTAAGAATATTTTAAAATGTGGTGATGCTTTAAAGCCCGATTTCAATGGAAAATATCGTCTACCCCCCTTGTTTAAAGAGCTAAAATTAGGGGTAATTAACTATTTCACACTGGTATTAAAATTATCAGTCAATTACCATTGAACCGTTCTTTGCATTCAACAAAGATTTTACGGTCAAATTACCATTAGTATTGGGTGTAATCGAGAGTTAGCGTGCGTAGTTCTTGATACTCGACTGGTTTAAAGACTTACCGGTTCTGGTATAGGAATGCTTCTAGGCCGAGGCTGGGTAATGTTGAAAGGTTTGGTTTCTGGAAAAAAAGGAATTAACACCTTAGAACATTTCCATACCTATGACAATTGAATCAATTCAATAAAGCAAAGACCGAGCATATCCAATAAATTTCAGAACCATATGTGTTCTGGGAAAAGTTTTAATTATTTATATCTCAATGGTAAACTAGACGTGATCAATAAAAAGCAAAATCACCTGTGGTTGGCAAGTTTTTCCGTTTGGGTTTGAGTCGGTTTGCTATTTTATCCTTCATCTGACCAATCATCTCCTGCAGTTCTGGCATCCACCTGCTCAGGTAAAACAATCCAGATTATTAAAAATAATTATTCATTATAATTTATTGATTATTGTTTAAAGTACATGTACGTATAACTTGTAGGGTTATTATGTTAATATGACAATTAATGTTACCATTTTCATAAATATGAAAATATTTACACAGTAATTTGTTTTAAATATATATATTAACTACATTTGCAAATATTTCCCTTAGATGAACTTTTATGGAAGAGAATTAAAATATGTTCAATTCTGTATATTTCCATTTCCATTTATTTGTCTTTAACATTTCCTTACAAATTAGAATTTTGTTCATTTTCTCATGAACTACCATGGATGAGCATGAATATCTCCATCGTTACGTCATAATACCGTACTTGACGTCAAAACTATAGTGCAAACTGTTTTGCTTTAAAAATGACAGTTGAATGGCGTAATTTTGTGGTAACTCATCAGAAAATAATGTAAATATAAGAAATGAATTTCATTTTTGAAGATTCATGAGGTACATGAACTACAACGCTTCACGCCAGCATATTTATCATGAAGCGTTAACGCGCTTCATGAAATACGCCGGCATGAACCGTCGTAGTTCATGTCCTCATGAATCTTCAAAAATGAAATTCATTTCTTAAATGAACTTATTAGGGGGTCAGAGGTCATGGCGTATGTGACCAAATCACACAGCGAGATGATATCTTGCCTACGTATTTCTGTCACAGATTGCATAAAAACATGAAAAAGGAATGCTAATGTTCAATTATCTTTATTGGGGTTTAATTACTTGATATTACTTTTATGTTCACTTTCTTAATTTTTACATTCTAATTTAAAAATCTACCTAAACCTCAGAAAACCTTAATTTTTGGCATTTTAACATGTCCTATAAAAAATGATGATAATACATTTTATGAAGTACTTGTGAATGGATTATTTAATTGGAAGAAAATAAAATCTCCCTCGGGATGATGTTTACTGACCGGTGTTTCTCCAAAGTAATGGGCAAAATCCATTAGGTGAATGGTGTACACATGAAAATTAAAACTTTGTTCTGAAACTGCATGGGTCCAAATATTGTTTTTTTTAATTCAATTCACTTTATTGACAATTACCATGTCAGCATACAGTCATGAACAAATTAACACGATTAATACATACATATAGAAAGTGACAAATGTGAGGTAAACAAAATAATGTAGAGTATATTCACATATTTCTAAGTATTCATTGCTGACTTTCTTTTCTGGTGTCAAAGCACTTTTTCAAAAAACAACATATCCTTCTAGCAATTGTAATATTTGTAGGATTGACAGTTTTTCTAATGGGATTATCACTAGTATATGTGTTTATATTAAATATATCAGTATAATTGCATCTATATTGGTCATACTCTGAACAGTATAGAACAAAATGTTTCTCATCTTCAGTAAACAATTTACATGAATAGCATAGACGTTTTTTCTCTAGGAATAGGGGGTTTACAGTATCTGCCCATTTTCAATATACAATGGTCCTTAATTTTGTTAATACAGACCTACAACTTTTTTTCAAAGGCAGCTTTAAATAACTTGTGAATTAATTGTGAAAAAAAGACTTTTGGACTCTAAATAAATCAGGTATCCTAATTATGAAACTAAGTACATGTAATTCCTTGTTGGGAATTCTTTTAGTAAAATGACACAGTTTGCCTGTTTTCCAGCCTTGACTGAGCTCTACATAGAGCACTCTAGTTAAGCTAGGTGACAGAAGAAGTCTTTGTCTTCAATGTGAGTCTTAGAGGGGATATGTATCTTAATTAAGTGGAAGTCATTTTTTGGTCTTCACTTTTTTGCTTATCTTTATTAAATGAAAGGTTTAATTTCTCTGACTGTCAGACATATAATTATCACCCAGCATTTTTCTAAGGGATGAAAATTTTTGTCCCCTGCTTTTGCAAGAGTATGGGGACATTAAATCTCATTAGTCCGTCCATCAATTTGTCTGTCACAAAACTTTACACAGTACTATTAATAACTTTTGAATGAGAGAAAATATGGTTTCCATATTTCACATGTGTATTACCTGTTACAAGACCTTTCCGAATGCACTATAATTTTTTACCCTAAGGGACTTCATGTTTCAAATATGCATTACCTGTGAAGACCTTTCTGAATGAACTTTGGTTTTGAACCTCATGACCTTGAAGTTTGACCTACTTTTCAAAATTTTAACATCGATCATATTTTACTTTTGAAAGAGAGGAGATATAGCTCTCATATTTCACATGAATTACCAGTGACAACATCTTTCAAGGAGTACCGGTACTATCATTTTTGGCCTCATGTTTTTGACCTTGAAGTTTAATCTACTTTTCAAAAGTTTTAACCTCAAAATGGCCATAACTTTTGAACCTGAAGGGCAGAGCTTTCATATTTTTTCACATGTGCATTACTTTTGACAAGACATTTGGGAATGTACTATGATATTCTGACCTATGACCTAGACCAGTTTGACTTTCAAGAACTTTAATCTTGGTTGTAAATTATGCACCAGAACATACTGCTTCCAAAATATAAAATATTTCTTTGCATGATGGACAAACAAGCCAGGACAGGTAAGACAATTTTACAATATGCCATAAATCACTGCACCCCAAGCAATAAGACCCTGAAAGTGGGGGACCACAAATTCTCTGAATTTGCTTGTTACATTAAAATTCTGACTGACATATCTTGTTGACCTCAGCTCTTATATAAGTAAGTCTGAGTCCACACGGATTTTGACTTAACCCACATCCCATAATGCCCATAAATCACAGTCCACAAATCCTTAGTAACTATACTCCTTAGTTGGCTTTTAACATTGTATAAATAGCCATTGCTTATTGTTTCAGACCACAGCTGTTATTGATCATCAGCCCTTATATGCTTTTACAAAATATGTCACAGCTGATGTGATGCTTTTACTTATTTAATATGCTTTTTTCATATTAATTCACAACCCACAGATGTATTTAAATAAAGTACACCAAATCAGTTGCTTTTTTATGAATGATGGGTACTTTTACGTCAATGGGGTTTTCATGTAAGACAAGTCACAATTACTTCAACATGAGATAACTGGGTAATAGGTGTTTTATGTTATAGAGGAAATAAAACTCAATATTGGTCAGACACATATAAATGACAGTGTGTTAGCCACCCTTACCTCTGAATAGAGGAGATCATGTTGCTTTCCACAAACACATGTTCATAATATTTCTCCCATCCATCCCTAATCCAAGATAATAAATTCTTCTCATCCAGGAAAAAGTTCAGGAACTGAAAAAAAAATCAACAATTCAGCACCCAAGAATGAATCTAATGAACTACTTCTAAGGTAAAAGTCTTCAAACAACTTAAATATATTTGTAATTGCATAGAAGTGGAGAAAACTGCTACATAAAAAGTAAGAATTCTTTACATAATATCATTTCTAACACCAGACATTCTTACTCTGTACATCCTGTTTATGTCTTGAGATGCCACAAACTTCCTGAAATGAGCCATTCCAAGTTCATCCAATCGAAAAAGGGCAAGATAACATACAACTGCAAAACAGAATAAATACTGATCACAATTATTTTCAAATTTCTATATTACCGTAATAATATCCTCCCAAAAGAAAGTTAATATTCAGCCTTTCACCTTTCCAAAATAAACATAATTCTAAATCCTATACCTGTGTAGAGATTTTGTTCTGATCGGAGAGTTTTCTTTCCATCCTTGGCATAGAACCCATCCAAAACGACTTGCATTAGGTTGGCATACCTGACACACTCTGAGAAAACTTCCACAATAAAAGTCTGATCACTGTCATCATAGATCTGAAACAAATTTATAAATTAGACATCATAGATAGGAAATAAATTAATGCATTTACAGATATTGTTCAGCAAAGATCTGAAACAAATACAATTTATCTATTATAGGTTCCAATTTATTGATACATAATTCAGGTCCATAACTCTAACTATATAAACATGAACTTTTCTGTGTTTTTTTTCTTCTTCATCAGCTTTAGGTTAAATGGAATGTACATAAGAATTTAGATATACAGTCAAACCTCCTTATCTTGAACTTGATGGGACCGATAATATACTTCGAGATATCTGAGGAAACGAGATATCCAGGGTAAAATACTTAAGGAATAAGCGTTTGGGACTTGCAAATCACTTTGACCTATCCATGGTATTCGGGATATCAGTATTCGAGATACCGAAGTTCAACTGTATATTATTTTATCACTATAAATCCAAGAATACTCTGGTACTTTCCAACATGGATATTTTTTAGGTATTGGGGTATAATCAAGCTTCATGATAACCGAATTATTTACCTGGTTATTTTTCAGGTATTTGTTGACGTGTTCCTCCACCGACTGCATGTCACCGTTGTAAGTATCCAGTACCTGGATACAGTGGACCAGCAACTGACCATGGGTCAAACTCATCCTGATGAAGGCAGTACTAGAATTAAAATAAAGATTATTACTGAGATTCGAATTAATGACCTAGCTGTCATCACTCGGATGGCTAATTCAAATGTGTCAGAATATATATTACAATATATTACATTTTGATAAATCTGCAATAGTTTAATGTATGTCAGAACTGTTTTGCATGTGATTTACACACTTTCATTAAATTAGCTTGAAGTCAAAGGATATGTGATGGAAAAACAGCAGAACATATTTGTGCAATCACTTTTGAAATATTTAGCCAAACTTACTTTTCTTTTTTGTAAAATTACGTTTTCCTCAAAGCTAGTAAATACTAATCCAGTATCAAAGACAGAAAATATTAGATTGACATATCATTACAGAAATAGCAAAACCAAAATGGCACTGTTGTGTATGTACATGTATAAGAATACAGCTAACAAAAAGCATCATTTTCATAACTAAAATGTTGGAAATCAAGAAAACTATTCCATACCCATTTCACACATTAAAAAAGTTATACATTGTATTTGCATGTGTCATTTCCAACACTTGCAGTTTATCCCTTGAACTTGGGCATTAAATCATAAAGCACTTGTTCACCAAATAAAGAGAATGGGTAGAGTGAATGTACAGTGGTATAAACTAAAAGCCTTCCAAGCAACTTTGCTTTAAAGTCTGGTCCCAGATCATCAAAGATCTTAAGCTTAAGTCAAAATCTAAATATTGTGCTGAAAGAAAATAAAAATGCTATTCAACATTGCATCATCAAACTGTTGTTATCTAAGTTAAAGTTTTAGTTCCCAGTATTTTAATCATGTTAAGAAAAATCTAATGGATGATGGAAATTTTAACTTATTAAAGTCTAAGTATGTTTCATGAACCCAGGAACTGGTAACACTGTGGATACTAGGCAATTAAACTTGTCTTATCACTTAGTAGGATTTTATACAAAAAAAAATTTCACATAAAAACTAAGCAACCTGCAATGGCTTTACCACTAACAATGTAATCCATTCATACAACTAAGTATACCCAGAGAGTATCTCATCAAGCCACTATATTTTTAACTTGAGAATACCACACAGATTATATCAACACATATATCAAAGCTATTTTACCTCAACTTCTATGTGCCATTTCCTGAATATTTAACAAACAAATAAACAAACAAACTTAACAATACATTCTATTTCCACTATGGAAGAGTTATACTTTTTGGTGCGCTCTTTTGTGAAAAAGTCGGAAAATGTACAAATCTCGAGGGATTTCTGGGACAAACGTAACATAAACATGTAAACAATATGTTGAATGTTGATGAACAAATCCTAATAAAATGCAAATGAAATATTTTATTGTTGTGGACTTTATATACATCAAGAGAAGGAATGACAACGATATCAATTTATATCTATTGTTGATCGTATGTATCTATTTATCATATGGTACATCTAATACAATACACATGCCTCGGAAATGTCGTATTTTTTATTAATGGATGATAAATTTAGGGTTCTCGCTCTCTTGTATATGTCTTTTAGTTCTTCTATTCTTTAATTGGAATGACAAATACATTTAAAATTGGATTGAGATTGGCATGTTTTGTATTATCCGCAACGCCATGCTGTCCCAGTCAGACGACCCAACGTGTCTCTAATATTGAAGAGTTTACTAATGGAAATCAAACGTATTCTCATAGTTAAGGAAAGGTACCATAATACTAGCTAGCTTGAGATGCTTTTACTACACAAGGTCATTGAGGGATTAGTACCAGTGTAAACCACCTCACAAATACCTTCCAGCAAAAAAATCTGAGCGAAAGACTTAACTAACTTCAATACAGTCAACTTTATAGATAGATTAGCAGTCTACTGTCATGATAGCAGAGGACCCATGCATTGAACCGTCTTGAGTGACAAATATCAGTATTTGTTTGAGTAAAGTCTGTTTCTGCCCTCATAACTGATATCATATAAGCATAACTAACAATGAAAATGTTGAATGAATATCTATCAACAATTTCTAGACTGCAAAAAAGACATTGTTATTGGAATTTACTAACATCAATTGTATACATATGCAAATCACATTACAGATCATTGATTATATGTTTAACTTTTTTCAACAGTTAAACCATTTTCAATTAATCAGAAATAGTGGAAATTTCAATATGACAATCGTTAAAACAGTTTTACAGAGGTACTGTCTTAACTGCACAAAAACAAACACGAACACGAATTTGGGGTGGCGTTGTGAAATATTATTTGGGAACAGATGCGCTAAGAAGGCTTTGAACAAGTCGAAGCCTCAACAAGAAGTTTTAATGGATATATTGATGGATATATAAACTGTTTTTGTAAAATAAAATATGAGAATTTCTCCCAATCAATACATTACTTGACGCCAAAATTAATTTTCCTGTAGATCTATGTTGGTTAGTGTTGCCAATGTCCACAAAGCTTAAAGCGTCGCATTAACCGAGATGAAAATATATAAGAGTTAAAACCTTACTAGCAAACATCTGAAATCCGGGATAGTATTGCCTACAATTAAAAAAAAAAATTAAATATGGTTTAAGTGAAATAAAATCTGCCGAATGTTGTTTAAATAGTGTGAATGAATCAAGTATGGATTAAGTATGTTTATTTTTCTGGAAAAAAAAAAACAAGCAAACAAATTGAAAGCCAGCTGTGAACTTATACCAGAAACCTCTTTCTTTCTGTTTAGTTAGCTAAATTTGAATCATTCTAAAGTGGAAGATTATCGAGGGATTGACACTAGATCATAACTGATTCCTGTTTTCCATGATTTTTGTCTGTACACACAGTACATTTTTCTTCTCAATAATTTTGTGAATGGAAGAAAGACGAGCGAAAAGCAAATTTCTAAATGAATACTATCAAATTAATTCTATACAAGCATATCTTGCATTCAGGAATATACAAAACGTGTCAAGTATATGACATGTAATTGTCAGGTACATACATGTAGTTCCCAGTGTTCAGTTTTTGATGTGTGAAATATGGAGATAACGAACAATATTCAAGCTAAAAGTCCATTTAGACAGTACAGATAGGGAGAAGAGCAAACACGGACCACCAAAAACATCAGAGGTGGGATCAGGTGCCATGGAGGAGAGAGCATCCCCTGCCGACTGGTCACACTTGCCATGTGCTCCTTGTCATGATCAAGAAAAACGGTGATAAGGATATATTGCTACATAAGTAAGGGAAGTTGACAATTGAAAAATTGAAAAGTTTTTCTAGTAAAATATCCAAATATGAAATACTGTGTATAGGGTTATTTTCGCCCCGTGTTATTTTCGCCCTTTCACACAAGCAAACAAATTTGACTCGTTTTAAATTCGCCCAGTCAGGGTCCTGTTTAAGAAATTATACTGTTTTCTTTGAATTCACCCATCTTAAATTTGCCCACTTGTGTCTAGGGTGAAAGGGGCGAAAATAAAACGGAGGCGAAAATTTCCCTGTATACAGTAGATGTACGTGTCAGACTCTGTGGTATCTTTTATTTCAAGCTCACTGGGATATATCAAGTCGACATATGAATGGAAGTAACTATTGTTAATTGATAATAGGTCATCGATATTTCTAAATGTCGAGTTGAAGGTCACAGCAAGTGTTTTCTTCTTCTCATGTAGAAGTTTTTGAGGGGATAAATTCTGCTTCATATGAATACATAAATAGGTCTGCAAACAAGGGAAAAGAAATGAAGCGATGCATTCGAAGTCAGAATATACGTGTTTATCTAATTTGACCATCAGCAAAAGTTATCTTTCTTTAATTTTTGCCTATTTTTTTTTTTTTTTGTTAATAAAGAAAAAAAAAACATTAAAAATAAACATGAAAAAAAAACTCTACATAGTACAGTGTAAATTATACTACTTTTTAAGTTCTTATCAAGAAAAAGAAATGATTTAATTTATAACAGGAAAATAAAGTGGGTGCAAATGTTTAAGATAAAAACTATAAATAACTTTCAAATTAGCAAAGGAAAATACAAGGAAATGTTGGAAACATGAAATATATTTCTGCCAAAGGGTGTGATTGTCGTGTAGGAATATTTTTGTGAATCAAGTAAATGGCAAACAAAATATAACACCTGAACTAAATGGATTTTCGGATATTTATATACAATATGTCATGTTTATATGTGCCGATCAATATTTTGACCATTAAATTGATGTCAATGTATATATCCGAATTCATTCCATGAGCTGCTATTTGATTATGAATTTATGATTCGAATATTCGGTCCCCCCGAAAACTCAAAAGAGAGATCTGGGAAATATAATTGGAAAAGTATTTAATTAATCATACAAAACTCAACATGAAATTTTACTAACTCAGCGCAAACCGGGTACTATAGCTGAGGGTAGGGTGATTCATACACACATATGTACCTGTATATAAAATAAGACAGGACTAATTTATTTTCGATTTTCGAATATTCGAATAAACTTGGATACTCCTATCGAATATTCGAATATGAATTGTTGACCATTTTTACATGCTTTTAATTTTTAATATATATATATTGTATATCGCTAGCTTCATTTATCGATTCCTTTGTACACGTTTCCTATAGAAAATTAAGCTATATATGACACACTTAATGCGAATAGCTAGTTTAATAATAGGCCTAACTCACTTGAATATTCTTGATTTTAGAGTTCGATGCTATTTTTTAATTTTCCTGGTGATTTTTCATTGGATTACATAAAAAGTAGTTAATCCAAATTTAATATTTTCCAAGTAGTTTTACTAAGTGTGCTTTTTACTTCGAATTCATGAAAAAATAAATAAATTTGCGGCATACCTGCATGGAACAGGAAGGCATATTTGCATAGAATACTTTTGAAATCAGCTGTTGATTAACTGTATGTAGTCAAGCGATATTCTTATTTGTGGATCTCATTATCTTCATTTTAATTTACATCCAGATTCCCATGTTTTTATTATATAGAGAAAACTTCAGTCAGACCGCAAGAAGAAAACGCGAAAGTATCTAATTTGCATACAATATATTAAAGTGGGTCAATATCAAGGGGCGCTACTCATACAAATCATTATTTCATTGCAAGATGGAGGTAGGATATGTCTCGAAGCGTGTTGATTTAGGGCTTTTAGTGAATTAATAACAGTGCTACATTTGTGATAACTGCATTTTGAAGAACACTTAAGTGTTTTGTGTGTGTGTTGTTGAAAATTATTTTGGTTTTATGCTATTGTATATTGGAATTGTGCAGCTTGGAAAATGTTCAGAATTATGTTTTCTTTTTGCAGCACCGGGAAATATCCGCCCCAAGAGCGGGGAAGTTTAACGTTTATATTGAGGTAAGATTATTCAACAGATTTTATCGGCAAAGGAGGAAAACATACTGTCTATGAAATGTTTAATTTTTTAAAAAAATTGTAGCGCATTTTCCAATCCAAGCAAAGCGCTTTTCTGCCGAAAACTTCTATAGTTCTAGACCGAACGTTACGTGTCGTTGTGTGATATTTTTTATCAATTGCTTCTTTAAGCTTGGACAATTGGCACAGAATAAATGGTATTCTACTCATGAACTCTGTACTTGAATTGCAAAAGCATATTGACTTTGGGCTTACACAGTCACTAAACGCCTTTCAGTTCACACAAGGTCACTATGCAGACGCGCGTTACGCTTGAGAACACGTTGAAAACTCATCGTAGCGAAATTTAACACAAGACCACTTCGGTATTATAGTAGGCTATTTTTGGATAGAACAGAGTACGATACTTATTGATAAAATATGATAGGTGACCTGGATAAACGCAGAAGTAAACAAGCGCTTGTAAACAGTCCACGTGGTTTTGTTTTTGTCAGGGTGACATAAATATTTACTGGCGTGTGTCGTTACATCTGTTATATGGCACTTTGACCTTGTTTTTCTTACCAGAGCATGTTGAACATTTTATGACTCTCAAATGACCATGTCAATATTCAATTATCTTTTTTTTAAAAATGATTCTGAAAAAAATAATAAATTAATTATTTTACTGAAATGAAAGATGTACATACAATTTTTTTTCAGGGAGACTTGAAACACAAGCATTTTATAATCCTCACAGTTCATGACTTAGGATGCAATCGTAAGTATATATATATTTGTGTTTTGAGCACAAAAGAATAGAAAATCAAGAAGACGTGTGTTGTATTTCTGTATATATCTCCAACACAAACTGTTGTAGTAATGATTTGTTTATCGAAGATGCGAAGCAAAGTTTACAAACATTTACCTCCATAAAAGTGATTGAGAATGTGAAATGGTTATATTTTTGCAGTAGAATATATATAATAAATTCTTCACAGCAGGATCTTTTTTGGCTTCTGTCCAAGCAGTTAAACATGGCAGACAAGTGCTGAACAGTGTCAAAACAGATGTCTCTCTGTAAAAAGCCAATACAACAACAAAAAATGTTACATAAAAACACAACACGGAGAAAGTGATAGATTTTGCACACATACAATGATGCGCATTGAAATGGTTAAATTTTCTGTTTGAATGGAACATGTTGAGCTTTTTTATTGAATGTTGGTTGTTGCATAATGACACGCCCATTTCTTTAGAAAGGAGAAAATTTTCTCACATGCTTCATTCGAATACCTGTGGAATAGGTCTTCTATAAATAGTTTGAATACAATTGCCAATCAGATGGGCAACATACATAAACACCGGGTAAAAACTAGTTAGATCAATACATGCAATAAATTCAATAAACATTATAAATACATATTTATGTACATTTTCAATACAGTATATGAATTTTACAGAAGCAGAGAGTCTCTCTCTCTCTCTTAGCTTCATAAAATCCCCATTTCAGCAAAACTCACACTGCTAGTCACAGAGAATGGGGTGTCTAAAACATTGCAAGAAAAATTGCTTTTTTCGTTTCTGAAGAAATGTGACAATTGATGTTCAATAAGAAAGACGCAAACAGCAAAAAAAAATAAAAAAATTAACCACTTCAATGCACATCATTGTATATGCATATGCTTTGATATTTTATAGAAAAGTGCATAAATTTGCTCACTTGTTTTGGCAGCATATAAATCTACAAACAAGGGGGGGGGGGGAGGAGATCAGAATGACAGATGCATTAAACTGTCACTTTTAATAACAGTTATTGAAAAGAATGTAAATAAGTATTGAGAAGGATAATAATAAGCTGGTGATGAGGTGTGGAGTTTGAGTTGCATTGAAATCCTTTTATCATGTTTATCAGATCACAAACATAGGTACTAGATACTAAGGCAGTAGTGACAGTGTCAAGTAGATTGTTATTTTTATCCTGTTTATCTGTCTACGTGTTGAAGGTCACCTACTTTACAACTGTATGTTTACCTAAGGGTGTAGCAGTTAATTTTTGACTTGATTTGTGTTGGATGGAAGAGAGAGATAGAGAGAGAGATAGACTGAAAGAGAGAAATATTTTGAATTGGCCTGTAGTATAACCGGGCTTCAGTTGGACATTCAGTCAGCCATGGAATATTAGCATGATTTACGGGAGTGTTTCGCATTATGCAGGAATAATGGAAATTAGGAAGTCAGTCATCCCCTCTGCTTCAAAAACAAAAGGTCACCACTGGTTTAGCAAAATATTTTAAACAGTTTGTGTCCTATCATTTTCTAAAAGGAGAAAAAAGCGTTGAAAAAATCTTGCATGTGTACACTTCTTAGTTATTACAGGAATATCTAAAGAGTTTCCTTTTACGCATGGCCGAAATTTCAGCAGTTGTAAATTAAGTAGCAGATTGATTGATTGATGATTATTGTTTAACACGGAGTCGGCAATAGGGATAGGTATCGGCAAAAATTTCGTATCCTGATATATCACAATTTTTTCCCAAAAATATCACAATAAATCGTGATATTTTTATACACACAATTTTTACTACAATTTCAAATGAATTTCCGTAATATTTCCTAAAAATATGCTTCAAAAACATAACTATACTTTTAAAATTTTTATTTATTTAATATATAGCATGTTTGGTTGCCTTTTTAAAAATTGTTTTCAACATTTTTTACATTTCCTGTAATTGTCATTCAATAGTTTGAACAAATAAATGAATAATTTCCAGAATTTATAGTTATGTACTTAATACCGGTTTTTTAGTCTTTGTATCATGATACGTATCATGCAATAAAAAATCGCTATATACCAGTACACCGATAAAATCGTGCATCCTTAGTCGGCAATATTTCAGCCATATTCGGTGATTAAGTAGCAGATAACTTACTCAGTAAACACAGATTCAAGAACATCTTTTTATGTGCCCGGATCGATAGATCGGGGGCGCATATTTTTTTGTCCTGTCTGTCTGTTTGTCTGTCTGTTGTCAACTCTAACCTTCGCCATAACTTTTGAACCATAGGAGATAGAGACTTCATATTTGGTATACGTACTCCACTAATTAAGTTCTTTCAAATGACACCAAGGTCAATGACCTTGTGACCTTGACTGTGACCTATACGCTAAAAATAGCTTTTTCGAACTTTGTTGCTGCCGGGTGCATAGTGTTTCACAAACACATCTTTTTTATTATCTTTTTTTTACCGGAGAATAGCATTTATTTCAGAAATCATATTTTAGTCAAAGGAAGAAGATAGATTCCTTTACGTGTACTTTATATGTATATCATGTACTTTATATGTATATCATGTACTTTATATGTATATCATGTACTTTATATGTATATGAATTAATTTTTAAGATATTTAGCAGATGTTCTAAATTTACTAGCACTCCTTTTGTATTTATAAAAGACTGTGGCATGGCTTCCATGTATACTTGTATGCTGAAGCATCAGGGCTTTCAAAAAGATTAGAAACAGGTGGTTCTTTAATAACTAGTGTGTTCCAAGGAAGGCATGTGTCATCTGTTTTGTAGCTTCATTAAAGATGTAAGTACCGGTACAGTCAAACCTGGTTATCTCGAACTCGATGTGACCGAGAAAAAACTTCGAGATATCCGAGGATTCAAGATATCCAGGGTAAAATACATACTTAATGAATAAGTAGCTGGGACTTCCAAATCACTTCGACATATCCATGGTATTCGAGATATCAGTGTTTGAGATACTGAAGTTCAACTGTAAATCTAAGAGTGGTCAGCTATTTATTAACTAATAACATTATAGTTCATGCATTTGTCTGAAAAGAAATAAAACATCCACGGACAGTATAAGACTGAGATAAAATCTGTTAAACAGAGAGAATGTATTTCCCCAACCCTCACATGTATAATTAACTTGAAATTAATAAGAAACAATATTAAGTATGCATAATAATATACTTTTATCTGCTAGATCTTTACTTTTTTCTTAAGCTTTAAGTGTTTAAATCAAAATAACTTACTTTTTCATAAGTTCTCCTAATTATGTTGCTTTAATATTTGTGACAAGATAGCCATTTTCCTTGAAATTTCATCATACATGTACTAGAAAGAGATTTTTGAACTTGATGAAGATGTGAGATGATTACTTCATATGTAGTATGAACAACCTTCCTGATTAACACCTGCTGTATGATAGGGCTGTATCAATATATCAAAAAAGTAACTTCAATACGTATCAGGCAGGTAGATTTTCTTATAACTCGATCTGTGAAAAAGTTGGGAATTTCAATCACCAAAGGTCATATTTTCACTGTTTTTTAATTAAAATTGGTCATTAATCATGATACAGTCATTCAGGAGGTAGCACATCTTAGATAATTATTACAAAATACATAGACAACTTTCTTTTACATGTTGATTTTACAGTCATTAAAAGTTTGAATTTGAAGTGTAATTTGTAATGACAGTGAGACAAGAACTTTGATATGGGTTATAAAACAATTAGTTTTTAAAAAAATCATGCATTTATTGTTTTTTAAAGACTTTTTTTGATAAACTAGTTAAAGAATCCAATATATTGCATTATTAAATCATATCATATCGAATTTTTTTTGCTGAATACACAGCCCTACTGTATGAACATGATTGTTGTGCAGATACACATATTGCTGTAGTGTTGCATATTCAGTGTGAACATGTTGCATTACAGATGAACATGAACATGAACCCATATGAATATGATTGTTATTTTGTTACAGATGCAATGTGGACAACTTTTCTGCAGCATCCGTCCATGGCGGAGATCAACAAGAGGGCAGCTTATATCCACGTAGACATTCCAGGACAGGAAGATAATGCCCCCGATCTCCCACCAGAGTATGTATATACTAGGAAGATAATGCCCCCGATCTCCCACTAGAGTATGTATATTGTAGGAAGATAATGCCCAAATCTCCCACCAGAATATGGCCAAATAAAAAAATATGTGTGGTTCCGGTTACCCAACCTTCCCTATTTTATACCCCCGACCCTAAACTTTTTTTTGGCAATTTTCATATTTTTTCCGGAATTTCCCCCAATTTCCATCAATGGCTCCAGTTTAAGTTTTAGTTTCAGCAATGACGGCCTCCTTGCAAAACATAGTGCAAGTGTTTAATAGTGTTAAATCCAAAGCAAGCTAGCATGTAGGTGTCCCCTACCAATATTGACTAGTATATTATCACACCACATCTAAATGCCATTTGCAAAGCAGTGATAGGTATTACTTAGAAAAATTAAGAAAATCATTTTGTTAAAGAAAAAAAAAAAATCCCTACCTACCTACCCTAATTTTTTTGGAAGTGTAACTGGAACCACACATATTTTTTTGTTTGGCCTATGTATATTGTGGGAAGATAATGTCCCCTATCTCCCTCCAGAGTATGTATATAGAAGGAAGATAATGCCCCAATCTCCCTCCAGAATATATATATATATATATATAGTAGGAAGATAATGCCCCTGATCTCCCACCAGAGTATATGTATATTGTAGGAAGATAATGCCCCAATCTCCCTCCAGAATATGTATATTGTGGGAAGAAATGTCCCCTATCTCCCTCCAGAGTATGTATATAGAAGGAAGATAATGTCTCCGATCTCCCTCCAGAGTATGTATATTGTATGAGGATAATGTCCCCGATCTCCCTCCAGAATATGTATATAGTAGGAAGATAATGCCCCCTGATGTCCCTTCAGATTACGTGTAATTGTGATCTGCAAAATCACAAAAGTACTTGATTCCCAATATTTATAAGTACAGAGGTGGATCAAGGATTTATGTTTCATGTAGACTTTGTTGATGTTGGGATGGATATGGCCTCTTTATTTCTGCTACTAATATAGTACTAAGTAATCAAAAATTACCAACAGGTATCATTTAATGAATTGTTATTTAAGTTAGCATAAGTACTAGGACAGTAGGTACCAATCAAGCCTTTATAATTTAATTTTGTTTGTATTCTAACCTCTGATTGGTTAATATCCAAAAAGGAACACAAATTATTTCTGTATAACCTGGTTTGGTATGGGGACACCCCCCCCCCCCCCCTGACAACCAGCTGAATCATCTGTATCCATACAATCCTCTCATTTCCAGTCCTCGGGATTCATGGAAAATTCCAGATTTAATGAATGTACCAAACAATAATTCCATCTTACCACATGTAAACAAACAACAAGGCTGCTAGGCCTATGTATCAGTTTTTACCTCCCCTCGCTTCCCATCACTTCCGGTACTTCCGTTACTACAGTTGTATTATTGAGCGGCAAATTTGAACTAATAAAAAGCAACGAAATTTTACACCCATAGTTATTTAATGATTTTGAAATTAAATTATAAGGAATGACTCTAATTCTTGGCCAAATTATTCGCGTATAACCTGGTTTGGGTCAGTTTACGCTGTTTTATAATCCGTTTCGCGGATTATAAAGCGTAAACTGACCCAAACCAGGTTATACGCGAATAATTTGGCCAAGAATTAGAGTCATTCCTAAAATAATGTAACCTGAAAGTACACCTGAGTATTACATACCCATTTACTACTGTAAATTGTAATCCCAGAGTGCAGTGATGTATAATGTACCCACATTGGTTCCCTTTTCCTTTTTTTGTATACTAGTGTGTGTATGTATATATATATATATATATATATATATATATATATATATATATATATATATATATATATATATTATATATATATATATATATATATATATATATATATATATATATATATATATATATATATATATATATATACCATGATATACTGATCACCCCTTTGAATGTACCCAAAAAGTGTTATGTGCTAAAAAATGTTTGCATTGTAGTCTGAGAGAGTAACTATTTTGTGAATATGAATTGAAATCACAAAGTCCACAAGTACTACTTTACCATCAAAAACATATATCATACTTTTTAGCACCTATTATCACAAAGCTCCAGTCTGAGTATTTTACATAGAGTGGATAGCCACTAGCGAACTGTAATGAATTAGAGTAAATGACCTTAAGGCCACAGTTATTATATCTTTCCGTTTACAGATCTGCCGCCACAATTTTTTCAGGTTTTTGAAAATAAAAATAATGGATTTTATCACCCCTGTCTTTAATTTCCCGGAAAATTCATGTCTGATCATTAGGGTTTAAGTATTTATAATGCGTCTGGGTCCAATACATGCAATAAAAAACATCTCACTGTTTCAAATGTTTCGGTGACCATAAACAGAAACCTGTAAACATGGCGGCAAGCATGTCTATTTTGAAGTATAGTTAAAATGTTTTGGAGAAGGCACGTTGTCCCGAAACTTTTTTTTGAGGATGAGAGGGAAGCAAACTATAGGGGATGCCATATTTCCCTATCCCCAAAAGAGTCATGTTAAAAACATGTAATCAGCAAATTTTATGGGCCAAAATGTCACCGATATTCAGCTGTTTCCCCTAAAAAAAAATAGCTTTTTTTTCCCAATGATAATATTTTTTTTTTTCAAATTTCAAAAGTAAGGAATTAATATGTTGAAATTGGACAAAAATTACAGGAATTGCAGACAAAGACGAAGTACATTTCTTACTTCAATTTTATTTCTCCAAACCCATGCACATGCAAAATCTTTAATGATGAATGTGTGAAACAATGGAGATATCGATATAAGCAGCTAAAAGTGGATAGCCAAGGGAACTGTAATGACTTAGAGTAAATGGCGTTAAAGTGGATAGCCATTAGGGAACTGTAATGAATTAGAGTAAATGGCCTTAAGGTGGATAGTCAAGGGAACTGTAATGAATTAGAGTAACAGTAAATTGGTCTTAAAGTGGATAGCCACTAGGGAACTGTAATGTTTTAGAGTAAATGGACCTTAAAGTGGATAGCCACTAGGGAACTGTAATGAATTAGAGTAAATGGACCTTAAAGTGGATAGCCACTAGTGAACTGTTATGAATTAGAGTAAATGGACCTTAAAGTGGATAGCCACTAGGGAACTGTAATGAATTAGAGTAAATGGCCTTAAAGTGGATAGCCACTAGGGAACTGTAATGAATAAGAGTAAATGGCCTTAAAGTGGATAGCCACTAGGGAACTGTACCCATAGAGTAAATGGCCTTAAGGTGGATAGCCAAGGGAACTGTAATGAGTTAGAGTAACAGTAAATTGGTCTTAAAGTGGATAGCCACTAGGGAACTGTAATGAATTAGAGTAATTGGCCTTAAGGTGGATAGTCAAGGGAACTGTAATGAGTTAGAGTAACAGTAAATTGGTCTAAAAGAGGATAGCCATGAGGAAATTTTGTGAGGGAATAAGAAGGTGAAGGATTAGAAGGGCAAAAAATGTAAATGAGCAGAGTGGTAAAGAAATGTAATAATAAAATTAGAATGGGGAAAATGTGTAATTAGAGTGTCAGGCAAGAAAAATGACAGTCATGTAGTGAATTAGAGGGTTTAAAAATAAAATAGAGAAGAAAGATGTGAATAAATTGGGCAAGGGATAAATAAGAAGAGGAAGTCAAGATCTGTGTGAATTACATGGGCAAGGGAAAAAATAGAATGACAAGGAAACATGAATTACATGGGCAAGGGAAAAATTAGAGGGACAAGGAAACGGGAATTACATGGACAAAGGAAAAAATAAAGAAGCAAGGAAACATGAATTACATGGGCATGGAAAAAATTCGAAGGGCGAAGTAACGTGAATTACTTGGGCAAGGGAAAAATTAGAGAGGCATTGAAAGATGTAGTCAATTTGAGTGAGGAATAAAGTGTGAAAGGGGAAGAATAGGAAATTAAGAAGAAAGAGGTTCCAGTATACACTGTAGCTTATGTTTATGGAATTGACAACTGCATTCCTGGTAAATGCACTTCTGTCAAGAAATTTCATCAAAATAATTTGGAAATAAGTGAAGTACTGTAAGAGGACATAACAATAATTGTTATACCTTTAAAAATTTGTTCCTATATAAATCAATACTAATAAAAGTCTAACAATTGCAATGTTTTACTGAGCGGGCATAAAAAAATCAATGTTTGACCGCGGAGTGAGATATTGGACCTGTCGATGAGATGTTGGACCGCTTACATCACACAATGGGCGGGGTCAGCTAAAACTCATTTGCATTCCTTGGTGTTCGACATACATGTATGTAAAAAAAAAAATAATAATAAAAAATACATAAAAAGGTATAACAAAACATTTATTGACTGTGTTTCATGGCAAAATGCATTTTGTCAACCCCTCCAACCAAACTGTTTGCCTTTGGCCTAATGGCCTCAGGCAAACAGTTTGGTTCTTGGGTCCGACAAAAGCATGTTGCCCTCGAACCCAGTCAATAAATGTATATTATTAATTATAATTAATAATTAATGATATCGATTTTTGCACTAAAGAAATTGTAGATCTCAGTAGTGAAAGAAGATTCCTGGTTATAAGCCTGTAAATGATTCATTGAGATTGTTAATTAGATTCCTTTAATACGTGTTTTTATCATCAGTGTCAACATCTCTACATAGATCTTCCTTCTTGTGTGTACTTGTGTCAGAACCGCCTTACCTGAGGCTATTCTTTGTTACAAATTGACAAAGTGGTGTTAGTAAGGAAATACGGTTGTTCACTTGCCATTCATCACTTTATCCTGACATCATTAATGGTAAAATAAAAACTTCAATCAGAAGATGCAAGCAAGGCAGGGAACAGATTTCTCCTTACTTTGAGCAAAAGATAAAGCCATCCAAAACATATTGCTGCTTTCATTCCTGATATGCTTTTCCTTGTCAAGGTTAAAGAAATGATCTAGGTCATTAATGACAAATTCTTTAGCTGAGCATAACAAGCACATGCTTGCT